TTCACATGAATAAAAAAAATCCATAAACTGAAAAAGTTGTTTCAGGTGAGGCTTAATCTCACAACTCAGTATGGCATCAAAGATCTCATTTATTTCCTTTTCTCTCTTGTGGCTCCCTTGTATCATTCTACGATTACTCAACTGTCAAGTCTAAAGAGATGCAACATACTGATTGGATAGACTCGGTTACTTACCACCCTCAAAGGCTGAGTGAAGTCAGCTTCTCTGGAAGCAAATGGATCCCTGGGGAAAATGGTGCTGTTGGGAACAAGGAGAGTAGTTTTAAAGAAACTAAATATTTTAAAAAGAAATTTGGCATTGTATTAGTTATGCTCAAATAACATGGTTTAGGGTATTCTTTTACCCTTTTCTTCTTTATTTAATTTTGATTATGAATGGCCCAGAATTCTTATTTTTTCAAGGAAGATTATTTTCAAAATTTCACTAAGGAATATTCAATAGGGATTAGAAATGATGATATAGGTCTATACTTATAGAAAAAATTAGTATTAGTAAATAAAAAAGCTTACTGAAAATCATCTGTATAAAAGTTATGTCTATTGCCAGGCATGGTGGCATAGTCCTGTAATCCCAGCGCTTGGGAGAGTGAGGCAAAAGGATCACTGTGAGTTTAAGACTACTTTGGGTTACATAATGAGATGAAGACCAGCCTGTACTTCCTGGCAAAACCCTGTCTCCAAAAAAAAAAAAAAAAAAAAAAATCATGTATATTATATAATCCTATTTTTCTTCTTTTCTTTTTTTTTTTTTTTTTTGTCTTTTTCCTTTTTATTGGTACCAGGGATCGAACTCACGACTGTCTACTTGCAAGGCAGGCGCTTATACCACTGAGCTAAATCCCCAGCCCCAATCCTATTTTTCTTAATCTATATGGTCATAGAAAAAATGATATAGCATTTATAATATTAACAGCAATTACTCATAGGGATGGTTGCTACCTATTTCATTCCTTATTGTATTATCTAAATATTTTATAATTGTTATTACTTTCATAATCAGAACTATTTTATTTTGGAAATAGCACAATCTCACCAGAATGTACATCACTATGTCTCAAGATATACCCTAAATAACTTTTTCACTGTGTCAAGCCACTTGGTTAATTTCTTCTAACAATCTTCCTCAGCAGAGTTGAGGGACACACGAGTCTTAGTATATCCAGTGGCGACCAAATGAATTATTTATAACTGGAAGTTAAGATTAATTCTTGTTTCCTCCATTTGTATGTATAACTTTTCTTCAGTTAATAGTATAGTAGGGTTCAGTATCTCATAGAATGATTAGTAGATATGATAATAGATCAAATGATTTCTTTTTTTTTTTTTTTTTTTTACACTTTTCTTTTCTTTTTATCGGTACAGGGGATCGAACTCACTACCGCCTGCTTGCAAGGCAGGTGCTTATGCCGCTGAGCTAAATCCCCAGCCCAGATCAAATGATTTCTTGCAGCATTAATTGATAATTGCTTATCTAAACATGTCTTCCATGTATACACTTCATATACATTTAGTTCTAGAGTTTCCCTCCACAAGCTGCTCTTCATAGAAACTTACTCAGATGTCTCTTCAAATGACCTCTTTAGCTTCGCTCTCTCAAGTCTCTGTAGTTTAGATGTTTACCAGGAATCTCTAGTGCATGTGCTGAGGTCTTCCTGAGCAGTCAGCTCACAGGACAGTGCGGTCTTTTATTGTCCTGCACTAGCTGGGTGTTCCTAGACCAACCGCCAGTCTCCATGCTGTCAGACGAAGAGGATAGCTTCAAAAGAGGAGGCGGCTGCTGCTTAGGGTTTTAGCTTTTAGATCTAAAACTAAATTTGCTGTTTTTAAAACTACTACTCCACTGAAATATTTCCTCCTTTCATCATCAGATAATGCAGTGATTAAAAATTAATAGAATTTTAGGACTACTAAACGTGATACTGGAAGCTCTGAACCCCAATTTCTTTACTGCAATGAAGAAACACACAGATTAACTTTTCTTCTTTAGCTTTATCAGTATTCGAATCTCAGCAGTTCTCTTTTTGTAGTATCTCTCTGACCTATTCTTTTTTTAACTTTATTCTTTTTTCCCTATTTCCCTACCCTCTCTTCAACTCCTCTTCCCATTATTGTTATTGTTGTTATTTATTTTGGTACCAGGAATGAAACCCAGGACCTTGCGCTTGCCGGGCTGGTGCTTGTGCCACTGAGGTATACCCCCGGACCTTACTCCATTTTTTTCCCTGCCATCATCCCAGAGGTCTCATTTCCTTAGAACTTATTCTTCCGGACTCCCCCTAGCCTCTCTCTGTATTTTTAGATCAATGTCTGTATGGCTAGCCTTGAAACAGCTGTGTAACCTAGGTTGGCTTCCAACTCTAAATCCCCTTGCTTCAGCCTCCTAAGTGCTGGGATTCCAGGATGCACCACCACTCCTGGTACCATACTGTTTCTCTTGCCTTCAATCTTTCAAGTAATCCTGGGAAAGCTTCACTGTCACATCTCTAAAGATACTGTGATCAGGGGCTGGGAGTTTAGCTCAGTAGCTCAAGTGCCCACCTTGCAAGTGTGAGGTCATGAGTTCAGTACCAAAAAAAAAAAAAAAAAAAAAAAAAGATGGTGTGCTCATATGGGCCATTGGGGGGGGGGGAAGAGTAATGGTTTTACTGTGGTCAAAGAATAAGGTTCAAACTCTAAAACTAATCGAAGGAACCTCCTACAGTTTGACCCTAATTAACCTTTCTAGGCTTATCTTCTTGTAGGTCCCTAATAAAGTTCAGTATTTAATTAATCTTAGTGCTTTGTAAACAAATCCGTTTAGTTTTTTGATAACGGAGATGTTCACAACATTTTTCTTTCATGAGCCAGGTTCAAGAAAAACCAGAGAGGCAGTTAAAAGTATGGTTGAAAGGTGTGAGGGGACCTGTAATCCCCCATACTCCGGAGGCTCGCAGGAAAGCTGCAAATTTTAGGCCAGTTAATTGACTATTAGCAGGATCTTATCTAAAGGGGGGAAAAACAAAGAGAAAGAAATTTAAGGGATAGGGATGTAACGCCATAGTACAACACTTGTCTGGCATTGTGCAAGGCCCTGGGTTCAAGCTCACTGGGGGTGGGGGAGGGAGTAGAGAAGTCCAAGAACGAACAAAAAAGCGCAGGTGCGTTCCTTTTCTATAGTTTCAATTCCGTTCGTTGTCTCTTGCTAAATTTCACATTCTTAAGATTTTTCCCTTTAGCTTGTGATTTTTCTTAGTAAGTTGTCAGGGTTTGTTTGCCCTGAAATTTCCGAAAAGAAAAAAGACACTGAGAAGAAGCTGAAACTAACAACAGTTACACAGAAGTTAAAGACGCAAACTGTCTTCTAAAAAAGAAGTGGTTGTGGCAACATTAAGTGGTATTTGATTATAAATATTCAAAAAATTGAAACCCTTTTCATTTCAAAAGGCTAACTCAATTCAGGGCTTCTGCAGTGTCAAAGTGCAGCGCTGCATCCAGGGTTTTCACCTCAAGAAACTGTAAATTTTCCACTAAACATAAACAGTATACTAAAGGAATATGCCATGTTTCCTCAAGAGAAACACGAGTATACCCACCAGCCCCTTATTCTAAACCAAGCGCAGGGCTAAAGCCGTACACTGTAATGGAGAAGGTCAAGGTCACACCGCTTTGGGAAAGGAAAGAGGATTTATATCCAGCCCTGGTTCTAAATTGGTTTTACATTCAGCTACGAAAAGCCTAAGCTAACCCAGAGACGAACTGGAGGATCACAGCAGGCTGAGATTGGTCAGAACGAACAGCCGGCTCTGCGCCTGACCGAGACGTTAGAAAAGCCACCTCGTAAACCCCCTGCGGCGGCCGCCATCTTGGGGGAGGTGGGGGCCGGAAACCCCTTCATTGGAGGATCACAGCGGGGCAGCTGAGGGCCGGCAGGGCGGGGTCTGGAGGCGGGGGAGGGCAAGGAGTGGCTTCGAGGCTCCAAATTGAGGGCGGAGCTGTAGGGCGGGGCTCGGGCTGTGTAGCTCTGGGCTGGGGATAGGGCCCTGAGGGCGGGAAAGGGACAGCGTGGGACAGTCTCGACCGTAGGGGCGGGGCCAGGATCCGGAGAGGGCAAAGCGGGTTGAGGTTGGGGGCGGGGCCTGGAGGCGGGGCGAGGCCCTTAGGGGAAAACTCTAGGTCGGAGGCGGGGCCTGGAGGCAGGGCGGGGGTTCTTACGGAAAAACACTAGGCTGGAGGCGGGGCTTAGAGGCGGGGCGGGCCCTTAGGGGAAAAGTCCGTGCCAGGGGCGGGACCTGAAGGCGGGCGGGGGTGGGCCGTGCTGCCGGCGCGGGGAGGAGCTGACAGGGCCGCAGCGGCTTTACCCTGGTCTCACTTTCTCGGAACGTGACTGAGCTGCTGCACCTGGCGCCCCGCAGCTTTTGGCTGACAGGGCTGGGAGCGGGACGTGACGGTGATTTCCTCGCTGCTCGGCCCTCGGCGAGCGCCAACTCCCCTGTATCTCCTCGCGGCCCCGGGGCTGCAGACGAGGCGGGTGAGCTAGGCTCCCGGGGCGCGGACCTGCGGGTCCCGTCTTGGCCGGGCGAGCCCTCAAGTCCGGCAGGTGGGCCGCGCCCGCTCTCTTCGTCCTGCGTCGGCGCCGCAGCCTCTTCCCGCAGCGCCTGCCTTCCGGACGCCAGGACCACCTCAATAGCTGGACCGGCCGGGCCAGGACTGTCCCTCCGGGGCACGTGCGTCCGCCCTGTCATCGAGCGCTTCATCTCACCCCAAGGTGGCCTCTGTGTCTGCGCCTCCGAGGGTTTCTGCTGAGGTATCTGGAGCATTGCGCCCACTTTCCCCCGACCCCGTTTGGGAGCCTGTGAGTTACCTGACGCAGGGTCTCCCGTGCCCGAGAAGCTGAGCGGACCCCTCCCTTACCCTAGGCTGCCTCTCCACTAGCTGGGCTGCCTTCCCAGGCTTCAGGTGGCAGCTACGCTCCTGGCGATCCATCTCTTTAGGGGCGCTCCGCACCCCAGCCATACCTCGGACCACCAGACTGCGCCTGCTGTGGACAAGGGAAGCAGGCAGTGCCCAGCGCTCCCCACCACGGGTTCCTGGGGAGGACGCAGCGTCCCCTGCTCTTAGGTGGGACTGGATGAATGGGGACTGTTGACTTTGAAGGGTGAGTGTTTTCATAGCACCACGCCGTGTTAGGCTTTTCCCACGGGATAAATGTGAAGAAAGCCCGTGTTTTGAGAAATAGTCTTAAGAGTTTAACACTTTTTAAAGTTTAACTCCCTCCCGTTTTTACTTACTAATAGCAATAATTTCGGTTGTTTACCGATGTGATCTAAACCCAATGTGAGGTAGCTTGGTGTGGTTTGTATAGTATCATTTCTCCAGTGTCTGCACCTTGGAACGGCTTTTACTGTGATGGGTCAACCACTTTGTTTTGAAACAAGCCTTATTTTTAAAGATGAAATGATTGAATGTAATTTTTTAACTTCCCTGCTGTGGTTCCTGTTCATTTGAAAATATGCTGTAGGAAGCATATTTTCTTTGCGTTTTAACATCGACTAGGATGAGATAAAACTTATGTTTTGATGAAAGACTTGCCCTCAGTTAGCAGTTGTTTCTTTTATAATACTGAAAAACATAAAAAGATGCTTTCTTATAATTCGCAATTAACTGAAAATTAAATCTGGGCATTACTACAGGGTATTTGAGCTGAATTAAAAGAGCTCTACTTTCCCTGTTAAGTATTTTAGGACCAACAAAGTTAAGATCAACTTCTGTTTTGTTACAGGCCAGATATTGCTAACTTTGTAGCACATCTTGTTTTTAGTGGGAAGACAACGGATTTTATTTCTTTCATTACCATTCTTATCATTATTAGCTTCTCATAGCAATTGTATTATTTCTTGAAAGCCTATTTGTGATATGCTATGTATATCTTATCCGCACAGTCGGTCTCTAAGGAGGTTTATGGTGTTTTGTCTGTTTGTTTTGCAGTATTGGGCTGTTGAACCCCAGGATCTTTGGTTTAGGTTGGGTTGATTTTTTGTTTTTTGAAACAAGGCTTCACTATATAGTACAGGCTGACCTTGAACTCATGGTTGGCCTTGAACTCATGGTGATTTTCCTGCCTTAGCATCTGGAGTGCAGGCATGCACCACCATACCTGGTTTGAACCCCAGGATTTTTATATTGAGCTGCAGCCCCAACCTTACTCTGCTTTTTTTTTTTTTTTCTGAGCTAGTATCTCTAAATTGCCCCCACCCCCACCCCCTGTATAAGGAAACTAGTATTCCAATTTTTTTGGCTGAGAAAGTGGCTGAGGAAAATAGCATAATAAGGTAGTCCAAAGAGTTGATAAGCATGAAGACCCAAAATCTGTTATTCTCCTTACTGATTTATTGCTAATTTAATTAAAACTGTTGGTTAAAAAGACTGGTTTATCACCATTTGTGTTTGTTTTTTTTTTTTGATACAAGAGTCTTGCTGTATAGTTGAGGCGGGCCTTAAACTCACAGTGATGCTCGTGCCTCAGCCTCCTGAGTGCAGGGATTACAGGTGTGTGCCACCATGCCTAACTTACACCTATTTCATTATCACTGCCTTTCCAAGGCCACATTTCCTAAGGGCTCAAATGTTTTAACACCTTGTTTAATCATTTAACAGCTCCTTTAAATATAGGTATTTGTACCTATACCAATAGCTTTCCCAGGATATAATTTGATACTTATTTGGTAAACTTAGAGTATGTGAGTATTGTAGGTTTTGTCTATAACTAACCATTCCTGTCTAATTCTGGTAGAAAAATACTTGTGCAACTCCAGATTACCTGAAAGGTTAAGTAAATGGTTTGGTTTATATCAGGGTAGCATAGTGAAGACTTAAATGCCACTCTGTATCAGTGATCCGTAGCTATTGGATGTGGGTGTTTTGAAAACTTAATGTGGTATGGGTGTTTTGAAAATTTAACCAGTCCACTGTAGATTTCAGACAGTGTAAGCTTTTTTATTTCTACATTATATAAAACCACTTAGACGGTAAACTAAGAATAATCATTAGAAATTGGCATTTGTTGCATATGAATTTCAAGTTACTAATAACAGCTGATTAGTTTCAGAGTTGTTTAAACTTCATGTTCAGTATGGCTCTGGTAATGAGAAGGGCATCTGATAATTATTGTCATTAACATACAGAATTTGTTCCTTGCTTTAGTTTTTTCTGAACATCTTTAGAACATTTTACAGCATATTTTGTGTTCTTTAACAGTCTATGAATATCTTTAGAACATTTTAGGAAACACTTTGTGTTCTTTAACTTGTTGCTATCATAAAAAAATTAGAATATCGCTCAGGGAAAAAAAAATCGCCTAGAAGGAAACCTGATTGATCCATGAAAGGATAGGAGGTTTATTTAAGTGCAAGTTATTATTTAAGCAATTCATTAAACTTTTTTTTTCAGTGCCTTCTATGTGCTAAATATTATGCTAGATTTTAGGGACACAGCAGTAAGCACAAACACATAATTGTTGCTTCTGTGATATTTAAAGTCTAGTAGTAGAGACATATAAATCACATGGTCACTCTAATGCATAGTAAAATTACAAACTGAGAAATAGTGGCCATTTTGGTTCTGTTTGGGCCTAAGGGATTTGAGAAGCCTTACCTGATAAAATGACAACTATGTAATTAAGAGAATGAATAATTACTAATTGTGTAGAGAGTGGAAGATGGGTAAGCAAGAACATTTTCTAGTAAACTACATGTGCAAAGTCCATGTGACTATCTGGCCATTGTGTGCTAGTCTGAAAGGAACTAAGAGTAGGTTGGTGAAATGCCAATGTAGATTACATTTAGCTTTGATCAAGTGATCTCTGTGTGCTAATGTAATTCTAAGGACTTTACTTGAATTAACTTCAAGGTTTCTATGAGGTAAGTACCATTATTACCATTTCACAGAGGAAGCAAGGAATAGAAAACTTATTTGTATCAAATTTGGTAAGTGATACTCAACTATATTTTTGCTTATACTCAAGTGTGATCACAGGCTGGAAGGGATCCCCTGTTTCCAGAGTGACTCTGATGTATCCTGAGAACACTTTTCCAGAGAATCTAGATACAGTTGGTATTCAGCAGAGACTTTGTGGGCCCCATGCTCCATTAGAGGACCTTAAATTGTGGACCGCGGGAGATAACCACAGGGCATTACTGTGGCAATAATGTTTCTGGATCTTATTTTACCCCCATCTGATACTGAATGTAGAATAGCAACACGAATATTTTGAGCTGGCCTACCTTTGAGAGTAAGGAGATTAATGTTAGCAACCCTCCTATTTTTTTTCCTTTATATTTTCCCCTGATTGTAGCTAAAGAAGCTTGTATCTTTATTTGACCATTTAATAAGTAAATGAGCAGGTCTACAGTGTTTCAATTAGAACTCTTCTAATTGTTACACTGAGTCTTTCTTTTTTTCTTTCTTTCTTTTTTTTTGTCTTCTAGAGATCCAGTTGGAGTTGAAAAGAGAAGAAAAGGATTTTTATTGTAGCTTACCTGCAGAAAACTCAACCATGGCAGTCAATATATCTGGGACTTTGTCCACGACAGTAACACATGGATTTAATTCCACTAACGAGTCACCTTCAATGTCAATAACAAGGCTTTTCCCAGCCTTACTAGAATGCTTTGGCATAGTCCTTTGTGGTTATATAGCAGGAAGGGCCAATGTCATAACATCAACACAGGCCAAAGGATTGGGAAATTTTGTCTCCAGATTTGCACTTCCAGCCCTCTTATTCAAAAACATGGTGGTACTTAATTTCTCCAATGTGGATTGGGCTTTCCTGTATAGCATTTTAATTGGCAAAGCTTCTGTATTCTTCATTGTCTGTGTACTAACCTTATTGGTCGCCAGTCCAGACAGTCGATTTAGCAAAGCTGGACTGTTCCCTATTTTTGCTACTCAAAGTAATGACTTTGCATTGGGATACCCTATAGGTAAGTTATTTTTTATTTTTTAAGTGTTTAAAAACTTGAAATGTTTTAGGAGATCAAAATACAAGCTTTGACGTAAGCATTTCTTAGTGGAAGATTATTATTCTTGTAACTGAACTGTAAATAGTAAAAACTGGATAGATATTCTTTCATCTTTGTTTTGCTTAAATATGTCTTCAACTTCAGAGTTTAGGGAGCCTTCACATATCTACCTAAAACAAGTGGTGATAGCCTAGTTGCCTTTGTGAAGTCTTGCAAAAAACATTTTACTTCTTAATTATATATGAAAGAAATTTAATTTCTAGAAGGAATCAGATTCTTATTTAAATTATGTAAAAAACACAAGCTATGTATTTAGAAAAATAGTCATTAGTAAATGTTAGCAGTGAGACTTTATGAATAATTTTCCTCTCTTTTATTTTCTTTACCATCTAGACTAGGTATTATTTTATATTAAAAGTTGTTTCTCAGCTTGTTATTCAAACTTTCAATGTATTTTGAATTTAAATTCTTAAAAACAAAAATGGTAAAGGCATTTTAGCTTTCCAGCTCTTTAAGCAGCCTAATTTTGTATTTATTTGTACATATTTTCCTGATAAAACAGTAAACATACAAACTTGGAATGTTGGATTATCTTGAAACCTATCTATTTTCAGAACACTTTCACCAAGAAAATATATACTAGTAGCTTTTTTATAATTTTAAAATTAAAGTTATGTACATTTTGATCATGTATCATAGTGAAGAGCTGACTACTATTGGGTTTATTCAATTCATTCACTCATAGGGAATTGTTACAGACTAGTGAATGTGGCAGCTGCTGGGAACATAACCATGAATGAAGTTCTTGCACATACTGAATTAACACTTAGTGAGAAATAAGTAACAATACTAAAATCAGACCAGGTAGTAACAAGAGTATTGCAAACAAATAGTGTAGAGGAGCAGAAAAAAGAAAATGGTATTTGAGGTTGCATGGTCAGTTAACCTTCTCTGATTATATGTCTTCTGAGCAGAGACTTGGATGTTAAAGTGTACAATTGAACTCTATCATTAACTTTCAAGTTTTTTTCCAGTAGTTTTAACCTCTCCATCCACTCCCAACTTACTTTACCATTGACATCAAAAAGATTCTAGTGAAGTGTATTTTTCACCTTTTCTAAAAACCTTTGATTATCTTGCTTATCAGAATAGAAAAATACCAAAGAAATCAAATAGCTTTATGAGTAAAGCAAAAAATTAAAGAGAGAAAAAAACCAAGCTCTTATGTAACTGAACTATAAATAGTAAGAAACTGGATAGGTGTTTTTTAAGGTTACTTAATTTTAAAACAAAATAAAAATGTTTGAAGTAAAAGAGCAAGGGTTTAATGTGTTTGTCCATTTCCTCGGGAAAATTAATAATGTAAGGTTGGTCAGTGTATTTGACAGAAGGTCTATAGGGGTGAGTTAGGACCATAATGTTAAATATTCAATAAATATTGCTATCTTTTTAGATGTGAACTAGAAGTATATAGTTTCATGCTGTCATTCATTAGTAAGCCTATATACTAAATAGAACTAACATTTGTAACTTTATAGTTTGCAGAGTACTTTCTTACACTCACTTGAATAGGGTAGGATCTTTATTCTCATTTTCCAATAGCAGAACGGCTTATGAAGATTGTTTGATCCCAGACCACATAGGTAACAGGTGACTGAGATCTAGGTTTTCTAGTTCTAAATCCTGGGCATTTTTATGCCACAGTTATGTAACATGGCAAATTAACCATAGGAGATCAACCAGTCCTTATAATAGTTTTACACAGAATCAAAATTTTTGTCCTTAGAGTATTCTAAAAATAGTCCATAAAATAAGCCCTAGTGACAAAAACTTAAGTGAGTTAATTTTCATATTAAAACAGTTTCCAAATAAAAAATATAATCAGCCATCTTAATTACTGCTTTTCTTATGTCCTGAGCAATTTCATTGAGTCTGGTAATAGTGTTCCTGGCAGTATGTTAGCTCAGATTTCCCCTATGAGTATGTTTGCCATTTTTGAGTCATATTTTTTGGTTTTACTCATGAATAGTAAGTCTTATAACATGAGGTTGTAGACTGCAACTTTACTAAAAATCAGTAATATAGAGAGCTTTCTTATATGCCTGCAGATTGAAAGATGTGGCACAGAGCTGTGGAACTGTGTGTCTGCTCCCTGGTGAGGTTGTTATTGCAGTCTGCCCATCTGCCTTCTGGCCTTGTGCAGGGTGAACAAAAAGACTGTCTCCCAAGAGAAGCCTTTTCTGTTTGTTTTGCAGCCATTCCTGGGAATTCCCATTCTCTTGTTCACAGAGGAGCTTCGATTGTGGATTATAAGACATGTCCTTTTTAAGATAGGATTTGTTTCACATCTGTCAGTTTACAAGTGACTCAGAGAAATGCTGGCAAGGAGAAGGTAGATATTTTAATAAAGAAAAGGACAGTGATATTTCTGTGTACTATGGGAATTATGATCCATAAAATTACATTAAAGTGATTTATCCTTAAGTGACAGAATGGTGCACTATGACAGACTAAAAAAAGATTACTATTTTTAAGAACGCTTCTTTTCAAAGGTACTTTAAAAATCCAAGTGTGAAAAGAAACCAAGAATTACCTAGCTGGAATGTTGATTTCAGAAAATCAGAATGGTTCCCTGCCTCTGTCATTAAAAGATACTAATAGGGCATAGTTAGTCCTATAATTTATTCTTCAAACAATGCTGATAGCATAAGTACTCTGACTAATCATAATTATGCTCTAGTGCTTGAGCTGTAAACAGAAAGGAAATGAGGCATTTAACTATATGCCATTAAATAATAGGATGATCTTATCGGGGTCTTTGTGTTATTTGCTAGATTGAAACCCTGCAGGAATCAAAATAGGAGCCACAGTGGGTGGCTAATTTTATCTCTGTTCTACCAAGCTATATAACTCCTCATAATGAGATTCCCCCTCCCTCCAAGAGCTTATTTATAAGCATTCATTAATTAGAACTTAATAGTTGGTATAATGATTATAAATCTAATGTTAGTTACTGTGGGTCACTATATTCATGTATATATTTTTTAGAGGTGAAAAAACGATCTTTAGATAGCAAAAGAAATGCACTGCCAATTTATAGATAAAGATGTAATATTAAGTAATTATGCAAATAAATCACAGAGATAGACTAAAATTCCCATGTGGAGCCCTATTCTAGTAATTTAACAAGTATTTATTTAATCACAATATTAGCTCTCTCACTAGAGTATACTTCTTTTGCCACTATGTACTTGTTCCACTGAGTTAAAAGACCCCAGGTTTAGTCTGCTTTATAAATATTCAGAATATGCAAAAAGTTTAAGCAGATTTGATTTTCAGTTAAGAGGAATAAGTTCAAAAGATCTATTCTACAATACAGTAACTACAGTTAACAATATATCGTATTCTTAAAAAGTGCTAAGAGGGGCTGGGGATTTAGCTCAGCGGCATAAGCGCCTGCCTTGCAAAGCAGGCAGTTGTGAGTTTGATCCCTGGTACCGATAAAAAGCAAAAAGACAAAAAAAAAGTGCTAAGAGTAGTTTATAATTTTAGTTACTGTTATAATTTTAGTTACAGGAAATACGTATGTTGACTAGCTTAATTTAGCCATACTGTATTGCATAGATATTTCAAAATTGCATGTACATGATAAATATATATATATAATTTGTCAATTAAATGTAAATCAATTAATTTTAAAAGCAAAGGAATTAAAATGAATCTTAAAAAATGATTGATAATTAGATATCAATTGCTGTGTTTTACAAAATATAGTTTTACTACATATGAAACTTTTGTCATTCACTGACGTGTTAGTTAATTCTGTTTAGCAAATATTTCAGATTCACTCAGCACTGTGCTTGGGACTGGTTATAAAATGCCTTCAAGGAGCTTAGGGTTTGTCGAGGTGGCAGTAATTTGGATCTAAGTACCATGGCAGTCCATAGAAGTACTACAAGTGATTGGCCTTAAGTAGCAGACAAGATTCAGGTAAGAAAGGAAAGATTTCAAGAAGTTAGAAGGTAAGGATGTGATCAGCTTGTAGAGCTAGTAATTATGAATGTGGTATTTGGTGTAACTATAATATTAAACTGGCTGATGGAACTTTGCATCATGAAAAAGTAAAAGATGATTTGGATAAACAAGAGACTCGTTCTGGAGACTGAACTGTATGTGCCAATAAAAGATTCTGTAGCTACCCCTGTGGGTGGTGAGAACTGAGAGAAAATGTTAACTTTGGATTTTTTAGTTTTGGTACTTACTGTTCTGATTTGTTAGTAGTGAACAAAATGAAAGAAGGGAATGGTTGAGAAAACTCAAAAACAAAGTAAATATATTAAGCAATCTAATTTTGAGACTTTTCACTAATAATAGTAGAACTCAAAAGGACACAAAAAGATCCTGCAAAAGAAGTAGGTAGAGCTATCCCTTTTCTCTGCTGGAAATATGTCCCAAGGCCTCCAGTAAAACCTTAAAACCATTGCTAGTAATGGACCCTGTATATTGTTTTATCATTACATACTAAAGATAAAGTTTAATTTATAAATTAGTAAGATATTAACAGCAATGACATAAAATAGAATAACAGTGTACTGTAGTAAAAGTTATGGACATATGTTTCTTTTCCTTCAAAATACCATTTTACTATATTCACTCTTGTTATTGACTTTGGGTAACTGACCCTGCAGAAAACTAAAACAAAGGATAAGGCTGTACTACTATATTTGATGACTGACCAGCCAGAGATAATAAAAAGTGTTGCTTAATTTTGCATTAAGCTCTTAATTTAATTTTAATTTTTATGTCTGTCTATGTATTATCTGTCCACCTATCTATTTTATAGCACGGAAATTGAACTCAGGGACTCAGGGGCTATACTGCTGAGCTACATCTTCAGCATTTTTTTTTTTTGAGACAGTTGTACTAAATTGCCTAGGTGGGACTCAAATTTGCAATCCTGCTTTATCTTCCTTCAGTACTGGCATTACAGACATGTGCTACGATGCCACACCCTTAAGCTCTTAAAACAATCAGAATTCATCATGTTGCAATTACTAATGGACTGGGAAAGTAAATTTCCAGAAAAGGGAATTAATAGAGGGGCCTTTGAATAAATTATGGAAGTATAACTGTAAATTGTCAAAATACCTTTGCTCAGCAGCGTAATTGCCTGCCTGGTATGCACAAGGTTCTGAGTTTGATTCCTGGTACCAAAAACAGACACCTTTGCATTGTATTGTGAGTGCTAAACTAATATGCTAGTAATAAGACTGCAAATTCAAGACATTTCCAAAATCTCTTTGATTTACTCTTTTTAAAAATTGAGCGCTGGTCAGGTATAGATATCTTTGTCATCAAAATGCACTATCTAATCAAAAATATAACTACATAGGTGTAATTATCAAAAATGCTTTTTTTCTCTTACATGTGAAACCTTATGAAACATGAAGAAAATCACTACTATAAAGCTAGGATATCTAATTTAGAACTCAGTGAAAGGAATTTATGAAATTTTATATAGTCGAGTGTTTAAACCTCTCATTTGGAGATATAGACCTCTGTATATGCTTAGCTGGAAAAAGAAGGAATTAAATCTTTTAAAAAATGGGTTTTAACAGATCAAGGTGAACTTCTAAAGGTTATATAATCTACTTGCTTAACTAACAGTCATGTGCACAACAACTGAACTTACCTATCCTGAGTAGGTAAGCAAATATATTTTCCTGTCTGTGTCACTCTATAAGATTAGATGAGATTAGATGAGAAATCTAATCTTTACATTGTTTCCCCACAAGATTGCATCTCTCCTTGTATTGTGGCTGTTCATTTTTTATCTTTCTATCTCAACTTCAAAGTAAGTGCTTTCAATTGGAAAATTTAGGAACTCACTGCTCATAATGTGCCTCGAAACTGCATTGTTTAATCCCCATCTCTAGGTTGCCCTGATCAAACACAGACCAGGCCACCAACCCTTACCTCCTCCAGGTAACTGTCAGAGAGCTGATCTAACTCACTTACCTTCTTCCCAAGACATGTCTTATGCAATGATCCTAGAGTTATGTATATTCAAATACACACACACAAAATCTAAGTCACCCACAACCACAGCACATATACTTTGTGTTGGACCATTTCTTACACACTGAACACAGCCCATTTTTTTCCTTGAGCATTGTCATTCTTCAGTAAATGTGAAGTAATTAGTTTGTACTTGTTTTGTTTTGAGACAGGGTCTTACTATGTAGTTCAGGGTGACCTTGAACTCATTATGTAGCTCAGCCTGGCCTTGAACTCTCAGCAGTCCTCCTGACTCAGCCTCTCTAGTGCCAGAATTATAGGTATGTGCTACCATGTCTGGCTTAGTTTCTACTTGGTATATGAGAAAGAAAATGAGGCTTCTGTTTTCCCAAGAAAGTGTATTTGTTTTTTGTTGGCTTTTTTATTTTACTTTTTTGTTGGTACATTTTAGATATACATAATAACATTCATCATAGGGAGTTTGTACTTATACATGATATATCATGTTACTTTTTTCCCTATTCCCTTCCCATCAGTCCCTCTCTTTATTTATAAAAGCTTTGTTTCCATTTTTTCCTTCTATTTTTCTTGACCAGGGAGTTGTTTGAATTTGCATTAGCTAAATACACATGAGATTCTACTATATTCCCTCCTGAGCATTTTCTAGATCCCAACTTTCTGTGCCTATTTCTTTAGAAAGTCTTTCATGAATATATCCATTTCCCGTCTCCCTGTCAAATGGAAGTTACTCATGTTCCCACATCCTAGATTCTACATGAGCAAAAGTAGATGGGACTGCAATTCTTGTCCTCACAACATTGCTCTCTACTCTGGTTTTAACTATTTTGAAACTTTTGCCAGAGTCTGATGAGTCTGCTGATCCTCAGACTGCTGTCGTTCAGACATTTTCCCTCAATCTCCAGAGACTTTAGGGTCAGTTCTCTTGTCATATTCCTTTCCAATTTTGTCATTCTCATTTGATTTTAGCATCCTTGGGAACTGCCCATGAAATTCTCCGCCTTCTTGATTCCTTGGCCTCCTCATTTCCCATGATGTCTTTACCTCCTTTCAGCCAGGACTCCTATGGCCGATCATCTGGGAAATACTAAATTCAACAGTTCATTGTCTGACTTACTCCAGACTTCCAGCTGCACTTAATTCTGGGGTTACGCAGGGACCTCCAGTCTCTGACCATCTTACTTCCTGTCATTCATCCCCCACCTGTGCCTCTTTCCTGCACAGTGTGGGCTCCGTCACTCCAGTGCTCATTCTGAGTTCCTTTTTTCTCTTCTCCCCTCAGCCCTCTGTCATCTGACTTCTGTCTTACCACTCTCATGAAGCTGCTTCTCCATGGGTACAAATGTCTCTCTTGCTGCTATTAGTATTTAAAAATTTAGGTCATTAGTAGATTTTTTTTTTACTTCAAATCGTTCCTTTTAAAAACTTCATAATTCTGTTCTTTTTTAGAAAGGAATCTTAACCCCTAGGTAGTAAAAATTATTTAGGTTTTACTACAAGTAATTTTAAAGTTAATTATCATTTTATAAAGTAGATATTTTCTATAGTAAATTCTTTTTCCTTTGCAACTTTATCACTAAAATTTGCTTTTCCAAAACTAGGCTGATGTGGTTATTTGGTACTATTTAGATTAATTTGGAGCATGTTATAATTAAGCATAAAAAATGTTATGTATATATTTATGTATCTTATGATAATTATTTAAAAATCAATATTCTTGTTTTGCAGTTGAAGCTTTATATCAAACTACATACCCAGAATATCTTCAGTACATATATTTGGTGGCACCAATATCTCTTATGATGTTAAACCCTATAGGGTTTATTTTCTGTGAAATCCAGAAGTGGAAAGACACTCAAAATGCTTCACAAAACAAAATAAAAATTGTGGGACTTGGATTTCTGCGTGTATTACAGAACCCAATAGTATTTATGGTCTTCATTGGTATTGCCTTTAATTTTATTCTTGATAAAAAGGTGCCTGTATATATGGAAAATTTTCTTGATGGACTTGGAAATTCTTTTTCTGGATCAGCCCTGTTTTATCTTGGTCTTACAATGGTAGGAAAAATAAAGAGACTGAAGAAGTCAGCATTTGTTGTACTGATTCTTCTCATCACAGCTAAACTGTAAGTTTTGGTTATTTAACATGGGAATTGTAGTTTGTAAAAACGTTTACCCAACTCATAGAGGTGTCTCCAACTCATTCTTTGAATATTAGTCCTTGCTTGTAGGTTGGTTTTGTTTTATAGGAAAATGAGATGTTGGTGGCCTACAGAAAATCATTTCTTTGTTCTATGTAAGTTATTTCATTATACCATCAGAGGATAAAGGCTGTCACTTCCCTTTTTCTCCCCTTTTTTCACACAACTTTTATACAGAGTTTACTATCTTTCTAATGTCCCAGTTAGGCCATATTTTAAAGGAATTTTGCAGCATATTTAAATCCATTAAGATCCTAAAGTCAAAAACATCTTAGTCATATGAGAAAAATACTTTTTATATTATTTAATTTTTTTAAAGTGGCAGATGATTTATTTCAAGGTAGGGAAAAGGAGAAAGGGACAGAGAGAGACACCGGATAGGTAGAGTATTTGGAAGGGAAATAACTTGAGAAAAGTGCTTTTTATATAAACTATCCTTTTCATGGATTTGGGGAAAATATTTTGCAATTCTGACTTTGGTCGAATTTCCAAAATATAGGTAAGTCAATATGAATATTACTAGACATCTGATCCTAACCTGTCCAAAAGTTTTTAGCTCCTTAGTGAGTAGTTCTGTAACTTACTTAGCTCCTTAGCCCTGAAGATGTACTTCTAGTTCATGTGATATAATTTTACCACAGTATTAATATATAGTACTTGAGGGATTCTTCCCTATGGAATTCATCTCTTGTATAGATAAATTCATGGAACCATATGGCATCTATTTGTATTTCCAAAATAAATAAAAATACGCATTCTGAAAATTATTTGTGGTGCTGTTCTGCTTCTCAAAAACAAAGTATTAATCACTATTGCCAAGGGAACAATAATAGTGTTACTGACTTTTGACTTACAAGTACAATTAGTTGTTGGAAATTTTTTGTGTCTGTGTTTCTTATTAGATACTTAGTTTTGGATTTTTGTTGTTGTTGTTGTTGTTTTTAATGAGACAAAGTTCCTCTGTGTAGTTCAGATTGGCCTTGAGCTTGCTATGTAGACCAGGCTGGCCTCAAACACAGTGATCCTCCTGCCTCAGCCTGGCCATTTAGTTCTTTTTTTAATGAAAAATGTACATATAGGAGTGGTTCTTGACTCTACCCCAGAGTATCTGTAGGTACTGCTGTGACAGTGTATCAGCCCTGGCTGGATATTTTTAAAGGAGAGCTGCATTAGCTTGGCTGCTGATATTACACTCTTTTTATGGGATCCTGAGTAATTGGTCTAATGATTGGCTGTTAACCAGATCTGGGTTTCACTGATTTTCTGTTCCACCTGTGTTGTTCCAGTTCTCATTGCTAAACCTTTTTTATTTACAGTGATAACGAGTTATAAGATGCCTGCTTTTTCTGATTGTCAGAATTTTATTGAGCTACATTGTTATTAACTGGACCATTGTTATTAACAAATTAAAAATTATAAGGTGTTAAAAGTTTTCTTAAAGACGTTATTACATTGTTAATTTTTTTCTTTTAACACTTCAGTGAACCAACAGAGAAAGCAAAAAAGCAGCTATAATTATTATAGCTTTTACCCTTTTAAAAATAGTGATATTGGGCCATTGCACAAAGCTACTTCTCCAACCTTGCTTTATTGAGGCAGGGTTTCTCAAAGTCACAAAGTTGCCCATGTGGGCTTGGAATAGAAATTTTACTTCCGCCTTCCAGGGTCCTGGAAATGTAGGCATGTACCACCATGCTTGCCTCAGTTTTTTGCAAGAAAAATAATTTGTGGAACAAAAACTACTTTCTCCATCATGATCTCTGATGCTTCAAATATTTTTAGAACATTGTTATACTTGAAATGACTCCCAGCTAAATTCTTGGCTGTTTCAATAAAAATGTCCACAATGTCTACAAATACATACAGCTTCTTGGCAAGAACAAAAAAATAATAATGCTAAATTCACTAGAGCAATGTAGTGTTTAGGACAAGCATGTTTTTTCCTTGATTATAAATAATATAATACAGAAGTAAGAGACTTTATCATTATAATACTGATATATGGTATTTATGTCCTTTTATAAGCATCTTTGTTACTAATTTTACAAAATATTTGGCTGCAATGCATATATTTTGACTTATCCATCCCATTAACCTGCCTTATACCTTTCTTTCCCTTCCCTTTTTCTGCTTCCTCTTGTCTAGTAATAGTCTTTCTTTTTTCATGTTATCTTTTTAAATTCCACATATTAAGGGAGAACATGAAAAGCATGTTTTGATATCAAGTAAATTACGCATTTCTTCTTTCTTCAGTCTGGTGCTGCCACTTCTGTGCAGAGAAATGGTGGAACTCTTGGATAAGGGTGACAGTGTAGTAAACCATACAAGTTTATCAAACTATGCATTTTTGTATGGCGTCTTTCCTGTAGCACCAGGAGTGGCTATCTTTGCCACACAGTTCAACATGGAAGTAGAGATTGTAAGTATACACCACTTTCTAAATTTGACTGTTTCGGTGGTTAGTAGGAAAATGAAAATTTTAAACACAGAAAGTAGCATTCTTTCTAAGAGAATCTGATACTCTAAGCAACCTTGTTTGTTGTAAATAAGGAGGTATTATGTAACATTGTGTAACAATAGTTATTTAATCTGGGATCTTTATTCCATGCTTTCATACTAGTTTTTTAAAGTTTAAAATTTTTTATACCTGTATTTAAGTCTAGAAGTTATTTACAGAAGTGTAACTTTTGAAATTTTGAGGGGAAAAAACTTTTGATTGATAATTCCACCACCAGATGTAAAATGCCACATGATCAATAGCAGCAAATAGCAAAACTCAGTTATCACCAAATCACAAACAGTGTCTAAATGTATTTTTCATACTATCTCTATCATTAAAAAATTGTAAATATAAAAAAAATAAAAAAGTTGTAAATATAGTGTGAAGAAATTAAATTATTTAATGAAGACCAGTTCCATTATTTAATCTTTAAAATGTTTGATAAATTTTTTTGTGATTTATTTTCCTAAATTTTGTGAAACAGTATGGAAGAAAACTGTTTACAAGTTTAATTTGGTCAACTAAAGGCACTTTCTAGAAGGTACTTCCTAGAACCTAGAACATAATGGTGGATTTTTTTTTTTTTTTTTTTTTTGAGACAGGGTCTCTATGCAGTTCATGCTGGCCTTGAGCTCACTTTGTAGCCCAGGCTAGTCTCGAACTTGCAACAATCCTCATTTTTCAGCCTCCCATGTGCTGGGATTACAAGAATATGTACCATGTCTGGCTCGAAATTTTTAATATTTGTTATATGTAAATATTGGTTGAGCATAGATTGGAAAAGGAGACAGGACAACTTATCTGTGGTTTTTTTTTAAGGACTCAGCAAGGGGAGTAAGGTAGATTCACTAGATAGACTCATTTTTGTTTTAGAATCTTTTAGTTAGTTTCATGTTTACAGCAATTATTTAAGTGAAATTGTGACTTCTTATTTGGACTTTTTTTTGCAGATAACTTCAGGGATGGTAATAAGCACGTTTGTGTCTGCTCCGATCATGTATGTTTCTGCCTGGTTACTGACCTTTCCCAGTATGGACCCTAAGCCATTGGCGTACGCCATCCAGAATGTTAGTTTTGATATAAGTATTATTAGCCTGGTCTCTTTGGTAAGTATTCTTTCACTGTTGAATGGAAACCACAGAATGAGTGTGAGAATAGCTTGCTAACAGTAAAGGATTGAAAAAAAATCTAGTTTCCTGTGAGAGAAAAAATAAAACCAAAGCCTGCCTATACAATATAATATTGACATTCTGATTGACTAAGTTTTGTCTCTCTGATTGTTGTAAAATAGAAAGGCAGGAGTGAGATTTTTGTCAGAACAGGATTTGATTCCTGGCCCTATTACATAGTAGGTGTGTGTATGTGGAGTTAATTTCTCTAAACTTCAGTTCTCTTAGTTACAAAGATAAAAATTTCACCAATTCCCATACAATTATTTTAAGGATTAAATGAGATAATAAATGTGAAAAGCATCATGTGAATTATGAATCACTATACAAATACTAGTTGTAGAATCACAGCTTCAGCTTGACCTTGGGGTCAAGTTCAGCCACCCATTTAACGTTCATAAAACTTTAGGCTACTTCTCAGATTGGATGTGTATGGCTCAGTGTAAGTAATTAAGCGTTTGACAACTAGCATATTTGATAGATTAAGTTCCCTATTGAATTCAAGTATCATTTCAGATCTAAAAAACACAATGTGCACCATTAAAGGAAAAGGGATGGGGAATTGCAATAAATGCATTACAGCAAATAAATGCATGTAAATTTTAAGAAATCCCACACATATTCTTTTTGTAATCAGATTTTATTGGTACATTTTAGATATATATAATGATCATATTTACTATAGAAAATTTGTACCTGTACATGATATAACTTTTTTTTTCCTCTGCTCTCCTACCCTCCCTGCCAATCCTTCTTCCCTTCTCATTTACAAAAACTTTGTTTCTATTTTTTCCTTCTTTTCTTGTTTTTTTTTTCCACTTTTTCCTTCTTTCCTTTCTCCTTCCCCATTTTCTTCCTATTTCATAATGCCTATTACACATTTTGGTTCTGGTTTCTCACACCAGAGAAACAATTCAATTTTTACACATGTGTGTGTGATTTATTTCAGAGTAATGCCACATATATTTTTTAAAGACAGTTTTGCTTTGCAGTTCATGCTGAACTGAACTCACTTTGTAGCCCACCGTCGCCTTGAACTCACAGTGATACTCTTGCCCCAGCCTCCTGAGGGCTGGGATTAAAGGAATGTGCCACCATACCCAGTACCACATATTCTTTTTTTTTTTTTTTTTTTTTTTAAATCTTTTTATCGGTACTGGTGGTCCAACTCACGACCGCCTGCTTACAAGGCAGGTGCTTATGCTGCTGAGCTAAATCCCCAGCCCAGTACCACATATTCTTAAAATCTATGCTCATTGATAAGAGGGAAGTTAAAGGAAAGAGATAAGACTTACATGGCAATAAAGAATGTTAGTTACTTTTTTCATTGCTGAGATAAAATACACAATACCCAAAGTTAAAGGGAGTTTATTTAGATCACAGTTTGTAGTTTTCATTCCAACTGGCCCTAAGGCAAGGTTGCATGCATGGCCAACAGGCATCTTAGAAGAGAAATAGTTCATTGCAGGCAGAAGGTAGCAAAGTAACAAGGACCCTTAATAGTATCTTTCTGCCCCTTTTAATCTTATCTAGGCTATTTAGGGCAGATAGTGCTCACATTCTTAATGCTAGTTCCCTTGAGCTTTGCATTGCATTATGAATCAATTCTAGTAGCAGACACTCTAAATCTAGTACCTCTGTAAAGCCCCACCTATGACTATATGAGGCTTTGAGTGGGCATCTAAACACAGCCAAAACAGGAAAGAAAAAAGAAAATGAGCTGGGATTCTATGCAGGTAAACTAGAAACCTAGTCCTAGGACTGAGGATGTTGCTCAGTGGTAGAGAATGTGCTTAGCATGCATGAGGTGCTAGATTCGGTCCCCCAGAACTGAAAAAAGAAATAGTATGAAAATGCAAAAGGATTCATCTTAAAATGGGTGAAAAATCACAAAGTAGGAACTTGGAATAGTATATTATAACTGCACCTACTAAAACTCCTTTCCTGAATAATTGGCTGTGATCCTTTGTCCCACCTCAGCCACTAAAGGCAGATGTAATTATAGTTTGGCCTTGGGCAATTGTATTATTATGTAATATTATTATATTAGTTCCTAAAGACTGAAATTTTGGAATTCTAATTTACCAAGGGATCTGTTATTTTACTTTGGATATGAGAGTTTTCCTTAATACTGTTTTTGGAACTAATAAATAAAGTACTAGAATATTTTATGAACCAGGATACAGAGGATTCATTAAAGATATTAGTCAGGGTCTTGGAGGTATAGCTCAGTGATAAACACTTGCCTAGCATGAGTGAGGCCTGGTGTTTGATCCTCTGAACCATACACACACACATACATCAGTTTGCTATTTAAAGTAATTATAAAGGTTAAAAGATATGAATAACTTTGGAAATTTTTGTCTTTTAGATCTGGTCTCTGGCTGTTCTTCTCTTGAGTAAGAAATATAAACAGCTTCCTCATATGCTTACAACTAATTTACTTATTGCCCAGGTTAGTATACCTATAGATATTTAAACTATGCTTTTCTCAGGAACTTTCCTACTGTACAGGACAAACTTACTTTTCTAGGTTTTCCCAAGTATAAACTCAAAAGTATTAACAAGTCTAATCAATTGTAATTGATTATAATTACTACAATAAGTTTATGCCTAATATATTAAATATTACAATAGATCTTGAATTTTAAGGTGAGGCTGATAATGGCAGTTGGTAATAATTTATTTTTTCTTTTTTATTTTATTTTTTAAATTTTATTTTAAAGAGGGTAAAATTAAATAGAACAAAACAGATAATAAGAATACAATATAAGAGACACAGATTTCAAAGGAAGACAACTGGAGATCTTCACTGTCATTCACATTGTCTCTTGTTTTCTTCCAAATAGTTGTCCATATCTTCACATGCAATGAATTCATACAAAACAAAAGAGTATAAAACTGATCAGAACAAGATGATGAAGGCATTTTAGGTCTTCAGGACCAGACAATAGGGAAGTCAACAATGGCTGCCATAATGTCTCTCATTCTCTTCAAAATAGCTGTCCATACCTTCAACACATGTTGAAATTAAACAAAACAAAACAGACTAAAGTCACCCTGAACAAAGAATAATAGTGTTTCTGGATTTCACATTATGACACTACAGAATCAGCACTGGGTATCTTAGTGTCTCTTTTTCTTCAAAGTAGCTGTTCATTGCATCATGTATTATATAATCGATTCTCATAATCTTCCTTTTTTAATAGAAATAATGTATTCATGAAAAATTGATCTCTCACAGTCTTTTGTAATTAAATCTGTACTTTTTTTCATGAGATGTCAAGTTAACAGAGCTTCAAACCATAATAGAAAGAACTTCAGCATTTCCTATGTAAACTTTACTAAAATAACGTTGGTATATAGAATGAGGTTGTCAACTTTTTCAGTTGAATATGTTATAGGCTTTGTACAAAAATGAGTTTTTATCATAACTCTTTAATTTTTAATGTAATAAGCAATAATTAATTACTTAGTGTTAATTTAAAATGAGTAACTATTCACTGTGAATTAAACATGAGTGTGACTAGCTTATTTTCTGTATAGTATTGAATCATGGTTTTCTTAGCTATTTACAGTCTTTTAATAATTTTTTCTTTAGTCTGTTGTCTGTGCTGGAATGATGATATGGAATTTTGTTAAAGAAAAAAATTTTGTTGGACAAATTTTGGTGTTTGTTCTATTGTACAGCTCCTTGTATAGCACCTACCTGTGGACAGGTGAGTTGCATCCTGAATGGACTTGGAGATCTGTTCCCCTCTCTCTTATACCAGCGTCTAGTCATGTGTGTGTCTGGTAGTACAGGGTTAGGCTCTTATACCCACCAACACAAGCAGTCTGCTAAGCTGACTTATCTTTCCTGTTGCGCTCAATTTCTGCCTGGAATGAGAGCCCCCTGTAGTCACGAGGTGCTTTTTCTCAGGATCTCACTCTAAGCCACTGTCAGCACAGCTTCCTTTGAAAATGCCAAGAGGGCCGGCGCTAGAGGGAGATGGAGGAGGGAGAGAATGGGCAGACTGTGTGAGGTGTGTCCCAGGGCTCTTACCAGAGTCCTACATAACTAAAAAAGCTTCAAACTATAATAGAAAGAACTTCAGCATTTCCTATGTAAACCATTACTAAAATAAGGTTGGTATATAAAATGAGGTTGTCATCTTTTTCAGTTGAATATGTTATAGTAAACCAGAGTCCTACAGAACAGAAGCAAATTAATTAATTTTGGATCCTCAGTTTCCTTACCCATAAACCTGGGTTGCAATACCTCACAGAGTTATTTTGAGGGGGAAATAAAGTATGGCTATTTCACACTACAAATTTGACACATAAAGGGAAACTTAGAATGTACTGTAGAAGACTTGATTTCATGCCTTCAGAATCAAAAAGAGGTTCCACATCCCCATAAGTCAACAGCCTTTTGAAGTGAGGCAACAGTGTAGTGAGGAATACAGAATGAGAAATTCAGTGCCAACAGAAGATGGTTTGTGCTTCTTAAAGGCAAGTGTACCCTGCATAGCATGAGAGTTTTCATGAGATGTCAAAAGAACCTAGAGGCCTTATTTCCTAATATAAATGTGCCACTCTAGTCTCTAATACGTAGTTTATTCAGGTAAAATTTATAAGATGGAAAGAACAGCAAATACATATATCAATAAGCTCCAGCTCTTTTTCTGAAGCCTATTTCAAATATGCATTGTCAAAATCTATCCAGAGTAGTTGTTCTGAGTTTCCTAACCCTGATGATAGTGCCCTTTAGCCCTCAGATTATTATGGTACAATCTTATTTTAGACCTAAAAGTATACTCCTAACTCTCCTGTTCAGCCATTTTTAATTTCACTCATTTGCATATCATCCTCACAATGTTTGCCCTACCTACATATCACTTGCTTTCTTTAAAATTTACCTTTTTTAAAACTTCCATCAGTTAGGCCTTTTATCAATGAAATCCCAAGTTTCATGTGCTAAGTAAAATTTTCAAATACATATCAAATATATAACTAGTTTTTAAAAATTCAGCTTATGCTTATTTAAATATTTCTCATTTTGCGGATTAGGGAAAACGGGCCCAAAATGTTAAACCACAGGATGTATCACAACTTCATCAGGAAGACATGTAGGGCTAGATTCTCCCTAAAAGTATATGATTTTTCTCACACAGCAGGATTGATAAATATTACAATTTTGGGGGCAGATATTGAGAATCTAACTCAGAACTTTGCACTTGCCAGGCAGGTGCTGTGCCACTGAGCTATACTCATGGCCCAACTATTATAATTTTAAAGAGTGGGAGTTCCAGTGGCATAGTCAACACTATAGCTGTTGTACAATTGACAATTATAGAGTGCCCTTACTACCGTAGCACAGTGGGAATGATGTGATAGGTTACTTGTTTCCCTGGCACTTGAAAACCTGAAACTAAAGAGTATACAAATGTATTGGGCGAGGAGCAGTGTAAAGAAAACAATATCAAAGACCAAAATGCTGATTTATATTAATTCTAGTATGGTGTTACTTAATCTGTACAGTCTCAAACCTAGGTATGAATTCTTTATATCCAACTATAAAAGCAAAGCCAGTTCACAGATTAGATTCAAACAAGACTATAAACCTATCAATTCTAATTAGTAGTATTAATCAGTATCACAAAGGATTATTTTTTACCTAATGTAAATCATCACTTAACATGTGAAATGGAACTACTTCCTTGGTTTTCAAGTTTGGCTTGTCTTTACCTCCATATTTAATACAAGAGTTTTATAAAATGGTTACGTTTTTCTCCACCGTTTTTCTCCCTTCTACCTACCACAGAACCTTTGTTCAGATTGTGTACTGTTGACACCATTTGACCTTCACTTGGATGAAATATAATATAAACTTAATTTTAAAATAAATATAAATTGTAAGCTCTGAAATCATGAGACTCTGCTTGGTTATATGGTTTGGGTACCCAATGATTATAATTAAAAAATAAACCAAAAAATGACTTTAAATTTCTTACATATTACCAGATCCTGAAAAATATGTCTTAGGAACCCATTAGGTTCACAGATCTGAGTTTGAGAATTAAAGAACCTACCTGTGTTATAAGGTTGGGTCTGCCCTCTGCTGGATATGGGACTTGGGCAAACCCTTGTTTTCATGGGTATAATATGAAGGTGTTGATTTGCACAGATTTTTTTCCAGTGTTGTAGTTCTGTAGAATTTTATTAAAGCAGATGTTATTTGTATAAATGATTGGATGTAATGTATAATGTTCAAGAACTTGAAAACATTTGTGTTTAAGTTCATACCATGTTTATATTAAACACCATCATAAATATTTTCAAAAGATATAACCCAGGTAAAAATTGGTTATTATACCTGTAATCTCAGCACTCTGGGAGGCTGAGGCAGGAAGTTTGAGTCCAGCCTAGAGATTTAGTAAGACCATGTCTCAAAACAAAAGAGGGGGGCCTGGGTATGAAAAAAATTGATTAGAATAATTTCTTAACCACCACCAACAGAGTATGGGTGGGTTTTGTTGTTGTTGTTGTTGTTGCTGCTGCTGTTTTTTGCTACTGGGGATCAAACTCATGACCTCATGCTTGCCAGGCAGGTGCTTATGCCACTGAGTTAAATCCCTGGCAGAGTATGGGTGTGTTTAGAACTGTTCTGTATAGTTATAGATTTGTTTGTACTTAGATTCCAGTCAGATAGGGAGAAGAATAAAGTGATTGGGGCTCTTGAAAAAAAATCCTCCTGGACAAATAAGATTTGGGTAAAGAAACAAATAGGAGGAAAAACACAAGTGATTTTGAATTAAGAAAATTTGCTACAAAATATTAGAGACAGCATTTACTTGGAGTAAATTCTTGGGCAAAAATTGAACTATGGTAGTGTTGAAATAACCTTGGTTTAAAAAAAAAAAGGAAAGAAACTCCTGTGAAGTCTGATCAGGATCAAGAGTAATTTTTCTTTCAATCTTTGCTTCTTGTTCCTAGGCCTTCTAGCAATTTCTTTGTTCCTTTTAAAAAAGCGAGAGAATGTACAAATTCCTGTTGGAATCATCATAATATCTGGCTGGGGGTAAGTTGGTACTTTTCTATTTGCTAACATGTTGCCATATATGCAGTTACCATTCATTTTCTCTCTTCTCTGCAACCTTTTGTTATAGAATTCCTGCCCTCCTTGTTGGTGTTCTTTTGATAACTGGAAAACACAGTGGAGATAGCATTGATTCAGCCTTCTTTTATGGAAAAGAGCAGGTGGGAAGAATTTATGTTCCAGTTCTGTTCATGAGAACATCTCTTTTTAGCTTATTAATATACCTTGCTATACTGACATTAAAATTAACTTTGACTATCACATATCACAATAGTGATGCTTTGTCACTTTGTCACACTTCAGAATAGGGTGAATATTTCACTTGTCTAAGTCTGCTTTTAGCTGAAGGATTCTAAATGTTTGAAACTTAACTGATCCTTAAAAACACACAGAGCTAGATATGGTAGTTCATTCCTATCATCTCATCCACTGGTAGACTGAAGTAGGAATGTTGTGTATTTGGGGCCATCCTGGGCAACTTAGTGAGACCTTGTCTTAAGACAGAAAGATAAGCAAAATTTGAGAAATAAAGGGAAAGCTTAAAAGGAATTGTTACAATTACTTGTAAAAGAAACCAGTGGCTGTATTGTTAACCAACTGCTATAAAATGAAGCATCTAGAAAACTCATATAATCATAAGGAAACCTTAATTTCTTGTTTTTTTTTGTTTTTTTTTTTTTTTTTGTCTTTTTCATTTTTATCGGTACGGGGGAATCAAACTCACGACGCCTGCTTGCAAGGCAGGTACTTATGGCGCTGAGCTAAATCCCCAGCCCCAGAAACCTTAATTTCTTGATAATGTATATTCCTTACACATGCTTACGATTTTTAAGAAGCTCTATTCTAAAGTATGTAAAACTGCACAGATGTATTTTCCATCAAACAAGTGCTCTTAACTTGTGCTAATTAGATGGGATTTTGAACAGTGGCTAATGTCTTTTTCCAACATGGGCAGATGATCACCACAGCAGTCACCCTGTTCTGCAGCATTCTGATAGCTGGAGTATCGCTCATGTGCATGAACCGTACCAGCCACGCAGGCCGCTACGAAGGCTTCGGCCAGTCTCAGAGTCGCAAAGCAGTGGATCCTGGAAACACTGCTTTTGAGGAGAGTCCAGCACCAACAAATGAACCAGAACTTTTTACAAGATCTATCCCAGAAACAAGTATGATCTTTAAATATATATACATACATATACCTTTTTAGCATCTGCCCTTGCACTCCATTGCCCTCTGGGGCCTCCAGTCTCTCTTTTGGGTTCTTGTAATTCCTTCCTAACTGGGTTGTGTGTCTTCCATCACTCTCTGGTGCAATTTTTTTCATGTGAAATGACCAAATAATATTCCCCACGGAGCTCAGCCCATCAGGCTGTTGTTACAGAGCCACCTTGCACAGGGAGAGCCCTCCACATGGTGCTCCGCTCCATCCAGCTTGACTGCACCCTGCGCAGATTCAGTTGCTCCCTTTCCTCTGTGCTGCTGAACTCACCATGCTGTGCCCTAAACTATTGTCATACTTCTCTTCATGCTTCTACTTCATGGCCTTGAAGTTCATTAATGTTTCTTGTTAGCTAATTGGGGATGATATCAGAATTTCATTCTTTTGAGCTTCCTGCCCATTTTCCTTTTTTAAAACTGAAGCTCAAGGGTTATGTCTCCACTAAACTTACAAGCCACTTTCTCTAAGCCTAGAGCACCTTTACTAATGCTTAACATCCTTGCCTTCCTCACTTTGTAGATTTTTGCATTTATCCTGTAAACTAACCTGCCAGCTTTTAGAAGACAAAGCTTGAAAAGACACCTCACCTCCAGTTGGCTCTCTATGTCTTGTTCCATGAGTGTTTCAGAACTGATTACCAAAGGCTTGATGACCTCAGTGGAAAGCACTACCTGTTCTAAGGGTCCTAAGCCCAGAAACTTGTGGCTACCTCTTCTCTGTCTTTGCAAATAGCAAATATAGCAGAGCCTCTGCCTGGCGAGTGTGAGGTCCTGAGTTCAATTCCTGGAACCACTGTCTCAAATTAGCAAATAAACTGTCCCATAGACATTCTTTAAATCCCATCATTATCATTTCCAGCTGGAAAATCAACTTAAACTGGTAGTATAAATAGATGGAGAACTAAAAGATAGGTATCCCTATCTCCCTAGGAGAATTTCTGCAATGTTTGTGCTTCCCTCTCCCCTTACCTCACTATTTTATAATTGCTTTTTAAGTTGTCCCATAACCCACTCAACCACAAATGCTGTATCTAATCTGCCAGTTATCATAGGCTTGCCACCTAACATGGTTTTAGGCTTATGTAAATATTTAGTAATATTTGTTAAATGTATGGATACAGGAGTGGGTAGATAAGTTATACATGATTCTCTGAAACTATGTGCAAACTGCTAGGACAAAGTACTTGTTTATTTGCATGTTCACCAATGTTCCTGAGGAAAATACTGTTAAATTTATCTGATTGTTCTCATTTCCTAAATCCTGCTCTTTTCTGCTTTGCTAATAGTATTAACACGTAGCACTTTACATGTCCAACTTGGCCTTTCCCAATTTTGGCAACTCAAAATAGTTTACTTACCCCTGTTCCTTGTTACACATTTTTCAGAGGCCTATCACTTGTACATATTGTAAGGGCAGAATTATGAGTGAAGGGAAAAATAACCTACTTTAATACAAGATCAGAGGTTCAGTTAATGAAGAGAAGGCAAATGGCTACTTATATATCTTTACATTTTAAGGAAGGAACTGTCATAGGACTTTTTATGACCATAATTACATGTTTGTATATGTACATATGTGTACTCATTTCCTGTAGGTATGCCATTAGGATGACAATGTACATGTATATGCTTTTTAGTAATTCTATCTTAGCTGCTTGAAACTTTCAAGTTTCTGGAAAGGTTTGGGCCAGATAATCTTTTTATTTTCTTTTCTATTATTCATTGGTTCTATTTTAACCTTGAAATGGCATCATTATCTTAAATTTAGAAAGGCATTCATAACAGCTTAGTATAAATTGTAGTTTTTAATACTTTGAAATCTTTTTTATTTTTAAGAACATCACAAAGAATATAAGCACATTATCAATGAAAGATGAAGCCTAGGAATTACTCATTTTTCCAGCATATTATATTTTAATAGTTTATTACTGAAGTTATTCTATTATAATCCATGTCAAGGAGCAGCATGTCTATATAAGCATGAAATATTTTAAAGGTCATGGCCTGCAGTTCTCTAACTATAGAGACAGGAACAGTTGCAGCTATATAGCAGATGTCTCAGTGTGGTTCCTGTAAACCAGCCTGCCTATAAATTAGCAAGAGACTGTTTAGCAGTGTCTATTTGAAAAGGAAAAGGTATGTGATTGTTTTTACTGACTCTTTCAAGACAAAGATTCTTGAGAGAAGTGAATTTTGAACTGACCTTGAAGAGGATTTGATCAGCGTAGGCCCAGACACTGTGGAAGACTAAAGAAGGGAAGATTTTTGGTTGAACAGTAAGGGTGGCTGTCCGGTGAGTTTTCAAAGTTAGGCCAACGAGTTTGAATTTTCTATAGTAATCAGTAGAGCATTAATGTGTGTATGAAATGAAAGTTGTATTTAGGAAAGTATTTGAATTTTCTTAGTTTCCAAGCACAGTGGAAATAAAACAGCATGAATACGAGCATTTTTTCTTTTTTCATACAATGAGGAGATGATATGTAAAGAAGCTGTCATTTGTCTGGCACTCTTTGTATGAGCACATTTCAATACTTTCTGATAAATAACATTAAAACATTTCCACAGAGGCTGCGCACGCAGGTTTGGTTTGGTTTGGTTTGTCGATTTCTGTTCTGGTTGGGCTCTACCCTTCCATGTTCTTTTCTCTGTACAGGTTGCTGCTCATGCTTCGTGGGAAATGGTGAATTACAGTGCCCATCAGCAGAGCCAGTAGCAAATGCAACCTCCAGTAGGCCTGTGACTCCTTCCTTTGAGAAAAGTGAGTGCTCCGGCTATGAGGATGGGCTGTTGAGACAGAAGATTTCTCATCCTTATGCCTCTCAAAAAGAACTCTGCGTAGGATTTCTGTTGTAAATCTGTGGAATACCGAGAATGTAGATTCTCAAGCAGTAAGAGGAAAAGTACAAATAGGATAATAATCATGCAGAGAGAGTAATTGCTTTAAAAAATTAGGTTCTTATCAGGAATAAGTGGTATTACACACACACACACACACACACACACACACTCTCTCTCTCTCTCTCTCTCTCTCTCTCTCTCTCTCTCTCTCTCTCAGGTATTTTGTCACAACAATGGAAAACTGAGTTTCCAATAAATTTTATTTAAGTAATAGATTCAAGAAACTTGTCCAGGGATCAGGGATTTAGTTCAGTGGCTTAAGCACTTGCCTATTAAGTGCAAGGTCATGAATTCAAACTCCAGTACCAAAAAAAGAAAAAAGCTTGTCCTAAGGGCTGTTACTGTGTGCAACTTTTTTTTCATATAGTTATATATGTATGCATGTACTGCAGTACTTGCCTTGAATCCAAGGATTTTTAAATTTCATGTTACTTTTTTGAGACAATATTGCAAGTTACCCAGTTTAGGCTTGAAATTGAATCTCTCTGCTTTAACTTGGGATTATAGGTGTTTGCCAACTATACCTGTCTTTTATTTTTTAAATTTTAGAAACCAAAAAACTCCTAATATCCCTAATCCCTATGACCAGAACTAATTAAATACTGCTAATTACTCTGAATCTTTATGCTTTAAATATCCACCCCCCCCCCCTTTTTTTTCTTTCCTTAGTTGCTTGAAACAAGATTTTATCTCAAATTTTGATTCTCTTGCCTCAGTCTTCTGAGTGCTGGGATTACAGGCCTACTCCACCTTGCTCACCTTAAATATGCCATTTTTAAAAATGATTTATAAAAAGCTTTAAAAATAAACTTTTGGTGTATAAGCTAAAAGACTGAATCGTGTTTTATCTGGATTTCAAGTTATTTAAAACTAAACATTCTTATATGGAATTGCCCTGTACTTTTAGTGATTGCTCTTATTTATAATCAAACTAGAGAGGGAAACCTCCAAAAGTCTCCTTATAATAAGGCATATGTCAACTCTGTTCTTGCTAAAGGCTTATATTTTTATATAAAAATGCTATGGTGAATGAAAATTAATTAGCACTGCATATGATGGACATAGGAAATGCTCATCAAATATAATACCGCCAGCAGGAGTTGTTATCTAGGTGGCATTTGTTTGGTAGATATCTCCTGGTGAGGAATAAAATTTTAATAATATTCATGTTCCCATAGAAGGAAGTGTGAAAATATATCAGATGTGGAAGCTTCATTAACTTTTTCTAATAGGATATCTCGTCTGTCATTCAGTTAAACTTTCAGTTTTTATTTATGTGTTTCTTTTATAAAGCTGTTTCTTCATATTAGAATTCCCAAGGCTTTCTTTGTTTTTTTCTCCTTACACAGCAGATGTGGAGATAAAGTCATTATCAACTTCAATATGTAATCTGATTCAGCAACATTTTTTACCTACCTCTCAAAATGGTATTAGGATTTGCTTTCTGTCATTTACTTCATTACTAATGTTGATTCCTGATCTTTTAAATTGCAGAGTTTTTTTAAAATTTCCTGATATTTTAAAAAAATTATATAGAATGAGAGCCATCAGATATAGATTTCATCCATACATGTAATTTAGTATCATTACTAAGCCTGAATAATTTTTTAAAAGTCTAAAGGAAATCAAACAATGGACCAATGAAATTGTTTAGAGCTTAACAATATAATTCATCTTCCACTTCCTGCCAGAACACAAAGCCAAAATAAATAGTGCATTCAATTTAGATTGCTGAATGGCAAAAATATATGAAAAACATGAAAGAAAAATGGTAAAATTAATTTGTATCCATTTTTGTAATGTCAGTACATAATATTTTAAACCAAATTTATTATATATACTGACAGAATTTTTCTGTACATGGACATTGTGTTAGCCAGTTTTCCATTGTTGTGACAAAATACCTGAGATTATCAATTTATTTTTAGCTCATGGTTTCAGAGGTTTGCTCCATGGTCATGTGGCCTGTGGTAGCATGGAAGGAGCACATTGTGGAGGAACTGCTGACCTTATTATGGCTGCTAGGGAGCAAAGACAAACAGAAGAGGAGGGGAGAGGGTCCTGAAGTCCCATTCAAGGGTACACCCCTGTGACCTAATATCTTCCTAACAGCCACATCTAAGGTTCTACCTTCTCCCAATAGTGCCTTGGGCTAGGTACCAAGCCTTAAACACATGGGGTTTTGGGGGACATTTGGTATCCAAACTATGGTAGACATACTGTATTTTACTGTATTTACAAATAATTTTTATTAGGATGAGATCATACTACAGAAAACTTGGTAGCTTACTTGTTTTTACTTAGCCACATTGTGAACTTTCCCCTGCCATGAACTGTTATGCTAGACACACGTGCTGTAGGTTCACCACCACTGTGCTTGTACATGTTCTTTTTAAAAAGTGGCTTTTTAAAAACACAGATTTTTAACTTTATGGAAAGATCAAATTGTGGTTTTGAATCATTGATTTAAACATTAATCATAAGACTGTATATTAGATTAGTCATCAATTGTGTAAAAAGTGCTTCCCAGTACTTTTGCTGCCACAGACAGAGTGCAGCTAAGGTAGAAATTTAAAAGTTTTTTGTTTTACAAAAGATTCCTCATGTCTGTTTTGGACCAGAGGAATCGTATCTGTTGACTTGATGCTTAGTTTCCTATGTGAATATATAATAGTTACTTGATAACTTATTGGCCCTTTTTTGTTGTTGTTGGTCTTTTTTGAAGCAGGATTTTACTATATGGTTCAGACTGGCCTTGAACTTACTTTGTAACCCAGGCTGGCCCTGAACATGCAGCAATCCTCCTGCCTCAGCCTTCTAAGTGCTGGGACTAGAAAAGGGACAAGTTAATAGTAAATTTGTTTTACATTTAGTAAATTTGTTTTACATTTAGCCAAAATAGGGTATTTATAACAAATAGATTTATTACAGGTGAAAGCTGAAATATAGCCTCAAAATAATATACATAATTATAATTTATAATATATATTAATATGTAATTACATAGCATAAATTATATAGATAGAAAACATTGTTGAGTGATGTAAAAGGGAACTATTACATACTACTTGTGTTTTTTCACATTAAAAACACTCAACATCTTAAAACAACATGAAGGAGCTCTCCTCCAATTTTGTCAAAATTATATACTGATTCTTAGCTGAATGTGCTTTTTTGTTGTTTCTCCTAGGAAGTCATTATAAATTTAAAATGCATTCAAATAAAAAGCACTGATTACAAATTGTTGTGCTTACTGCTTTATAGATGATCACTGTGTGAGTCGCTGTAACTCCCAGAGCTGCATATTAGCCCAGGAAGAAGAACAGTATCTGCAGACTGGAGACCCACAACTGACTCGACATGTCTTGCTGTGTTTACTTCTCATTATTGGCCTGTTTGCTGTAAATTTTCTTCTGATTTTGTTTAGGGGCTATTTCTTTAAATGTTTTGCAAAGGTCTTATTCAGGCATCTGGGAGAAATTTAGTTGCTACTTTCTTAGGAGTATGGTAGCAAAAACATCTGAATTCTAGTCTTGGTCTAAATGTTTTGGATGGGAGAATTTTACTCAGTTGCCAAAGTGCTCCCCAAATCTATTCTGATTAGAATCACTTATTTATCCTTTGCTCTGAAGCTGGAATCTGGTTTTGATAGGTGGTGTGCAGGACCACTTATTCCTGATTACTTGACTGACTATGAAATTGATAAATGTCTAAATTATCTCAGAATATATTCCTCAGAAAAATAAACCTTTTAAAATAATTTTAATTATGAAAATATCATAACTACTTAATAGAGAGAAAGCGAAAAAATACCCATCATACTATAGTACTATTTTTTTAAATTAAGTTTTATTTGTACTAAAGATCAATCCCAGTGCATTGTACATGGTAAGTAATGCTTTGCCCCTCACATGCTATACACTCAGCCCTACCTTCTAATTTTTTAACACATTTTTTTTATCTTGTTTTTTTTTCTTTGTTTTGTTTTTGCTTTGTCAAGCATTTTCATGGTGCTACATAGTGTTCATATATTAAATGGCTCCTAAGAGATGTGCATTATAATTTTCTCATCTACTTCCTTATGAAGTATTTCTAGATTTTCAAAATATTCTAATAAACATCTCCATACATTATGTTTCCTAATGATGGATTCTCAAATTTGATAAACCTGTATCAAAAAGTATAAATGTTTCTGTGACTTTAGATGCATTTTAGTGAATTGTTTTCCAAAGGAGTAGTATAGATTTATACAGTGCATTCACCAGCATTGAAATTATAAAAATTTTAATTTGCTAATTTAGTAATAAAATACAAATGCTGGGTGTGGTAGTGCATGCTTATAATCCTAGCACTTAGGAGGCTGAGGCAGCAGGATCACTGTGAGATTGAGGCTAGCCTGGACTACAAAGTGAGTTCAAGGACAGCCTGAACTGCATAGTTAAAACCCTGTCTCAAAATACCAAAAATAAATAAATAAAACAATAAAATACTTTTAAATGTATGCATTTCTTTAATTACTAAAGTATTATTAGTTATATCCATTTTTTGTAAATTGTCAGTTATCCTATAATTCTTGAAGATGGTTTAAGTGTAACTTGCCTACAGTGAGAGATGGACAGTATATAACCCATGGACTGTTTCACTGTGGGATGTTCCTTATACAGTGTGATATCAGCCAGCAACACTCAACTGCTGTTGTTAAAGAACAAAAATCAAAAAATAAGAAATGCTGGCAAGAATTGCCACTTAGTGATATAATTGTGCTCATTGTGTAGAACTAATTTTAAAATCAGTCCTGTCTTAGAGTAGTCGGCAGGCCTAGTATATTATGTAAGCTTTTGTATTACGGCTCATGTCACCTTGCTTCAGATCTGATCAGAATAGACGCTGTTTGAATGACACCTGTCAGGAGGAGAGGTTGAAACCTCTTGTTTGAAAGACAAAGCTGCTATTTCTCTCAGTATTTTTCCCTTTAGTCTTTCCCCCTTAATTAGTAAGTAGGTAAGTTATTGTACTGAGCTCTGGATGGAGAAAAATGATTAGTGTGTCGTTTTAAAGTATTCTTTTCTCTTTCCTTTACAGAATCTTTCTAGTTGTTTATGGTGGCTATTCAACCAAGAACCTGGAAGACTCTATGTTGAATTACAGTTTTTCTGTGCAGTGTTTAACTTTGGCCAGGTATTTATTTAGTGAGAACTTGGAGGGGTTTTTGTTTTCTTGGATAAATTGATTGGACAGCAGGGGATGTGTATGTGCGGATGTTGTTGTTCTTTTAAATCATCAGGGTTTAGTTTGTTTGCCAGCTGCTGGTATACATGACAGCTGACAGCTGCTGCCCGTCTCTTAGTAGAGATGAATTATTATATTGGTTAAAGTCTTCAGAGTGTACACTGAGTGTTTCAACCAGAAATCCCAGACTGCTCTTTGCTGTGGTTTTGAGATAAAGAATAATAATTTAAGCAGGGACTAAGTGCCCTAAATTATTTTTAAACTTTTTGTGATTGTAACAACTCACTTTGGAAAATAACTTTTTACCTGAATCTTTCTTTTAGCCACATAAGTTAATGAACATTCTTCTATTTACATTTTGATACTTGCTGAACAATAGGTTTTTAAAATTTTTTTTTAGTAAATCATGCAGTATATAAGTAAGTTTTGTTAAGAGATAGTAATTACCTTTCCTTAGTGCCTACTATGTGCCACCCATTGTTAAGCATTTTGCATTATCATTTAAATGCCACAAAATACTTACAAAGTAGGTATTATCATCCCCAGTTTAAAAATCAGAAAAAATTCTACAGAGTAATGTAATAGATGCTATTGTGTATGTTTATGACACTGTTAAAATGGATAACTAATGATAAGTGACAGTTTACACATTGGGAAATATTTCTGTACAGTTTTCAAGATTTGATCTTTTCAACAGTCCTTTACTTTTTGTTTTGATTTATATTTTTGCAGTACCATGACCCTGCACATACTGGCCAAGTGTTCTACCACTGAGCCCAACCTTTTACTTTTTAGTTAGAGAATGTTTATAGGATGAAAATTAGGTTGAAAAAAATACTGTTTGAAATATCTTGTCTATTAATTCTGAAATAATTTGCTATTAGAGTTAGTTTAGGGTTCTCAATAAATGTATCAGTAAGGGTTTTCTTCCCCCCTAACATTAGTCTCCATTTGTTTTGCCATGATAATGGTAGCAGAAGAGGGGCTAAAGACTCAAGTGACTCAGTGTATTACAGATATGAACACCCCAAGAGCTATTTACTATCCATTTCACTTTGGAATACTATCTGAGACCTGACTTTGTATTTAACAACTATTCAAAATAATAGGTTTAAAATCATGGTCTCCCTTAACGTTTTGTACTTGGAAAGCCCACTCCAGGCCAGCACATCCCAAGAATGGGACTGAGAAAGCTTTTTGACTAAGTTTTGTCACGAAGAGAGCTAATGCCAGTCATGTTGCACTTAAAATGCTGCCCACACTGGTGGGTCTCAAAGGCTTGAGACACAAACCCACTCCCAACTATTTTCTCTTGGGTAGGTGATTATAAAGATATTTCCTGTCTGTTTATAGTCTGGGGTGAGTAAACTTAAGTTCTTCATGTAACACTGTATTGCGAGCTGGGGATGTGACACACTGGTAGAGTTCTTGTCTCGGATTCACAAAGCCCAAGGTTGATTCCCAGCACCATATAAAAAAACACAAACACAAAAACTCCACCATATTGCATTCTCCCTCCCTCATCCTACCACCTTGCACCCTGCTATGCCTGACAAATGGTAGCCCCCACTTCCTCTGTCCCAAGTAGTCCTAAATTGGCTTGATCTGTGCCTTATCACCTCAGATCCTTCAAACCCTTCCCTAGTCACCAGCCAGTGTCTCTTGACTGAAATTCTGTTCAATTACTATATTGTAAATAGATATTGTGGCACTTACTAATTATATAATTTACGAAGTTTCAACAGAAAAATACGAAGAATGGGAAATATTTTCTTTTCAAAAGGAAAAAACAAAGACATATATTCCTTAAATGTTTTCATTTTCCTTCAGTACACTGATGCTCAGGCAATGGTTTGTATCATCTCTCATTATTTGCAACACAAAATAATTGCATAAGAGGCAATGGAGTATCAAGTCTGCCTCCAGGTAGACTGAATTTTAGAGAGCCTGCTTTATGGGTTTCATTTAAAATGTCACTGTAGTTACTACAAGTTTGCTTTCTCAAGCACTAAATTTAGGGGCTTCCTTATTTCTTTGACTTAAAAGGTTTTTTTCTTTGACTTATAAGTTGCATTTAGAAAAAAAAAATTTGTTTTCTTCTCTAGGGATTTATTTCCTTTGGAATCTTTGGATTGGACAAACACTTAATCATCCTACCTTTCAAAAGAAGGTAAATTTAGTTTTTGAACTAAATCTATATTTCTAAAGATAACAACAAAGCCATTCTATTAAGATATTAGTATTTTACACCTTTCGTAACTGCTCAGAGACCTCAACAAAGATTATCTGTTGATTCACATATTTGTTGTAAATGATTGCAGAGAAAAATGTTAGAACTATTATAAATTCAGCAATGTAATTTGCATTTTAACAAGAACTGATGGATGCTGATTTCTTTGCCATTAACTGTATAAAGTTAAATGAAACTTGAAAATGTCTTTAGAAATGGAAGTAGTAGGTGGTATGCCCCCAAAGGTCTGTATTTGATTGTCTTTCTCCTTTGACAACAGGATTTCTCTTTGTATTAAACTGACAGTTTCTAGGAGACTCAGATTTTCTTTCTAAATTTTTAGGTAGCTTAGTGAAGAATTTCTTTCAATTAAGATTTCTTTATAAGAAATAACAAGTGGGGACAGTTGAACTTAGCAATGAGAGAAAGAAGTTGGGGCTGTAAATCTTTGTACTTCCTCACTTGATTTCCATGTCAAAATCAGTAGAAACTAAAAATGCTAATGGAATTCATCCCACCTGCTCTATGAAAAGTGCCCAGTAAATGGTATCTGTTCTTCCTTCTTATTTCTTGATCATTACCATCATCGTTACCATCATCATCATCTTCATTAAGGTGTCATTACCAGGGTCTGAATCATTTCATAAGGGGAAAGCATAATAGAAAAGTGGTCAAAATTAGCTGTGAGCTTAATAATGTTAAGGCAAAAGCTCAACAGTTCCATTGTGTGGGTAGGCAGAAATAAAACTGCTTATCCAGATCTAGACCCCAGTGTTTGTTTCTGTGGTTCTGAAATTGAAACATGATGAAGTAAAATATTTGATGTCCAAGTTACCTTTGTATTTTAAAGCAGGAAAAGGTAGAATAAGGAACATTCCTTGGTAGAAAGTGAAATGGGCTAAACTTGCCTGAAGGGCTTAGAAGTAAGTCATCAAGCTTTTATCCCAACCTGCTTTGACTAAGAAGCCAAATGCAGTATCAATATGTTTCTGCTTCAGAGACTGATGATGGCTGGGGATGTAGAGACAGTTTTGGTAACTAGTTTTGGGACAGACAGTTTGATGGTGTAAGGCAGGAAAGATTCTGTCAGTGCGGTTTTTTCTGTCTTAAAAATAGCCTCTTTAAATTTTGGTTTTCAGACTTGAACTCTTGTGGAACAATAAAGAAACAGGAGACAACAGAGATTCTCCTGTTTCTGAGGAAATAAAAATGACTTGTCAACAGTTTATGCATTATCACCGTGACCTCTGCATCCGAAACATTGTAAAGGAGAGGAGGTAAAAAAGTTGCCAGTACTAGTTCTAGATACTGTATTTTAAATGGTTGATTTTGGATTTTAACAGGCTAATAGTTGTAAGTCAGTTAATAGTTTGAGAAATAGCATATAAAAGAGCAACTTTGATTTTAATATTTTTAAATTTCCTGTTGCTTCTGATTTTATACAAAATATGAAGACTAGAATAAACCAGTGTAGTAGAATATTAAAATTCACTTCATGTTAGCCATTAGTGTTTCTCACGAAGCTTTGAAATACTTTGGATTGAGAAGTAATTTTATATTCCCACCTCCTAGTGCTGTTATTTAGTGTTACTAATGCTGTTTTCAGGAAAATGAAATGAAACTTCTGCCCCTTAATACTGCTGTTCACATTTCACCTCAAGTCCCAGTGTTTAGTCTATGACATTATATTTGGTCTTCTGGTCCCAGAGGTCTGGGATATGCTGCAGCAAGAAATGAACTCTGAATAAACAAACATCATAGTGCTAGTATTTTTGGATGCCATGAAAGAGAAAATAAAACAAAGAATGTAATACCTTCAGAGGTATCAATCAGATTCTGAAAGTTTATGAGTTTCTAATTGGGGTAGGTTAGTTACATATGCCATTATATTTAACATACAAGATTATGATCAGAAGGTACCCTGTGTGGCTAGTGGAAAAGGGAACTCACTGAGTGTTGGGATAATACTAGAACTCAGCTCCTGAGCTATCACTTCTTGCCTGTGTAGCATTGGGCAAGTTTAACTCTCAAAGCCTTAGTTTTTGTTTTCTTTTAAAAACTAATTCTTCAGGACCAGGCACAAGTGCCTGTCTGGCAAGCACAAGGATGTGAGTTCGATCACCAATACCAAAAAAAAAACCCCAAAAACCTAACTCTTCAGGTTGCTTGAAATGACAAAATTTCTGTGATGAGCCTAGCCTAATTTTTGGCAGTAGTAACCTATGAAGAAAAGTTAGTTTTCCTTTCTTAAAGGGCTGAGCACTATTATTTCAAGAGACCATATCTGCATAGTTTCAGCAATGTAAAACTGCTTTTTAAAATTGAAAAAGAAAACTCTTGTGTTAGCTGTCAGGCCTGTTGTGCTTGCCAACTGTCAGGAAAGTGTGGCTCTTACCATTTGCAGGAATGCCAGGCTGCTTTGGTCCCAGATGGCTGACTGAGCACCAGCTGGTAGTGTCCTGGCCTGTTCCCTGCCCCCCTCCGGGCTCTACAGCTTGTACAGCATCAATTCTGATGTTCTGTACGACTCCATGGGCCTCTGTCAGAGCTCCCTGATCACAGCCAGCCAGAAACAAATGTTACTCAGTTGGAGTCGAAGACAGAAGGCATTAGGCTATAAATCAGAAGTCAACAGCCAGGAATAATGCCCAGACAGCTTCCCATTCTCAGGTGTTTATTGAAGGTGATGTTTGCAGTTGCAAAGCATGTTTTAAGAGATCTCATCACTAATTGGAATATTGATGTTTAAAATATTATGATTTTGCATACTTGAGAAAATGCTTTATGTCTGTTAATCTTTTTTATATTAAACTCAAATGTATCTTTTACTTATGTGAAACATTTTTAAATTTTTGTCACTTATTTTTTATTCCATCTCAGTCTTCACTATTGCCTATTGTCAAGCACTTTAGATTTTACTGCTTGACTAATGCTTGTGGACACATTCTTGTCTTGCATATTTGTACATATTTCCTGTAACTGGGATTTTCTTGTGCATTTCTCTTTCCTTTATCATGCTGAAGTCAACCTACATTTGCATAAGGGAAACAAATTTTAAATAATCAAGGAGTAGATTCACAAAGTACATTTTAAAGATCTTAGATTTGTAGCAAGACAGATCTTAACTCTTTCCTTGCTTCCTAATGAAGCAAATCCCTAATAAACATATCAGCATGATTGTCTTGGCCTCTGAGAACACTAAAAGCTATTTTTGTGCACTAGAAACTAAAAGTAATGATTGATTTGAGTAGCTTAAAATAGTCACTTAAGAGCTTGCAAAAAATACTTAAGGTTTCTGAGATAATGAAATTACTATAACTAAGCATAGAAATTAGAAAATATATATCAGCTATCTACAAATAGACTTGATCATGAAAGACAGAGGCCGTGCTACTATAAAAACTATTTCTTTGATAATACCTTTACATTATCTATGTCATTTGTTTTCATGCTTAAGCATTTCTGTTTTCACAAGCATTATTGGCATATTTTATTTCTCTCCAGTGGGTCTTTTATCAGGAAAGTTAACAACTCCTTAATATTCAGAACAGTTTCATTTCTGCCATGCATTTAACTATCATGCTGCCTTTCCTTGTTTCCTTCTATTTTTCCTTGGTTGTCCTCCATCGTGCAGTACTGATACCAGATGTACAGAACATGTGGGTGAATCATTCCTTTGACATTCAGGTGTGGTGCAAAGACTTCTGCTGGGACCTTCTGTGGCTGTGACCTGGTAAACTGGCTAATTGAAGTCGGCCTGGCCTCCGACCGTGGTGAAGCTGTGATATATGGAGACAGACTGGTGCAAGGAGGAGTCATCCAACATATTACCAATGAATATGAATTTCGGGATGAGTACTTATTTTACAGATTTCTTCAAAAGAGTCCTGAACAGTCTTCTCCGGCTAGCAACACCAATCAGGAAAGCTATAAAGAAATTGAGCATTCATCCCCATCCTCACTGTCTCCCAAGATCTAAGATATGAAGGAGAGAACCCTGTATAGAGTCATATTCTAGCCCCAGATGAAATGCTTTTTAGTTGTATGACCTTGGGCAAGTTACAACCTCTCAACCTTCATTTCCTCTTCTGTACAGTCTGACAACATGCATTCCTGTCCCCATGCCAACATTCCATGGTTCTATATGTGTGTAAAACATATCAGAAGAGGCCAGACCTGGTCACACACTTGTAATCTCAGCACCCATGAGGTTGAGATAGGAGGGTTCCTTTGAGTTCAAGACCAGCCTGGGCTACATAATGAAGTCAAGGCCAACCTGAGCTACAGTGAAACCCTCTTGAAAAAACAAAAACAGATCACATCAGAAAAAGAGGAAACCAAACCAAAATATAATAAATACAATGACTATAAATAATACTAATATTTTAACATTATAGTCATTTCTCCCTTCTGTTGCTTACTATAATTTAAAATCCACATTCAATTGTCTATTCCTTTAAACTTCTGAATTTAGGAGCATACTGCTAGTAAAATGGACCTTAGGTTTTGACAACTTTACATTTATTGATAGCATCTTCTAAAAATGAATTTTAATAATTCTAATAAGAGTTTATTTTTTTCTTTGACAAATACTAAGTTAAGAATAGAATCACTAAAAAAAAAAAAAAAAAGAATAGAATCACTGTTTTTTCCCCCCAAAGGTTTATTTTTTTCTTTTCTCTTCTATCCAGAGTACTAATCTATATCATTAAAAAGGGAATAAGAACCTTCCTGTTTATTATTTCCGTAACCCTTCAACAGAAGTATAATCTGATCTTTCACTTGTGTATTACAAATAACTTGAGCATATTCACTTAAATGCTATAAAATTACTGCTACACAATGGGTCATTTTTGGTATTTTCACAAAGCCACTTTATTGCCTGCAGTGAAAAAGGGACTATATATGTAGTTCAAGCCAAGACTTACCAATTTGAACCCTAGCATCCTACCACTGCCTTTTGAATTCAGTCTTAAGTGTCTGTATATAAAAGTTTGTAAGATTTAAACATATTAAGGGTTGTTCTCTATCATTACGGCTGCTATACGAAATGTGGATAGCTTATGAACAACAGAGTTATTTCTTACAGGTCTGGATATGGGACAGTCCAAGGTTAAAACATCAGTAGATTCAGTGTGTGGTAAGGGCCTGGCTGCTGGTCCACAGAGGGCAGCTACTTGCCAACTCCGCACAAGGAAGGGAAGAGCTCTAACTCTTCAGCCCCTTGCAGGGCACTGATCCTATCATGACAGCACCATGCTCGTGACCTCCCAGTAACAACACATTAAGGGTTTGGCTTCAACACTAGAACTGGGGAGGGAGCACAACATTCAGACCAGAGCACCCTCTGATAAGCTTTATCTTCAGAAAATTAAAAAGAGACTTACTTGTATGACTTTTGAACGGCTACTTAATTATTAGGCGCCAATGCTGGCTTAACTTGAAACATTCAGATTTTTATTTATCTTATATTTTTAGTGTTTAATATATAAAACCATTTAGAAAATTATTTATAGGGTTAGTGTCATTGCCCTTTTAATGCAATAGATATATAATTTTTTAAAAACCTGCATGGAAGCCTTATGTATTTAACAAGTAAATTATACTTTAGTATACTGTTAAACTATTACATTACTAAGATATTAACTATTTTAAGTTATGATTGGGGAATGGGGATATTTTAAAGCAGAACTGTCTTGCTGCAGAACTTTTTAAAATGATGACCACATTACGACTCTGAATGCTCAGGAGTAAAACATAAAGCCTCATTGCTGTACCAGGCAATTTCTATAGTTACAATAAAGACATAAATTCACATGCATGCAGGCAACTCAAATTCAAGTGGGGAATTTTTTTGTTTACAACAGATCTTACTACATATGCTTTGTTATTTGCACGAATGGAATCTGCAACGTCTTTTCCCATAGGAGACACTAAAAGAAAATCCTGGATTAGAATGATTTGCAGTTTCAGATAATAAAGGCTTTTAAGATATGTTTTTAGGATTAAGGATATGCTAATTTTATTAAATAAAAATATTTGTAACTGTTACTTTCTCAATAGCAAAGCAAGTTTCTCAATAAAATACTTATTTTGACTGGTATTGTTTATATATTTTCTTTGCATTATCTAAATAACGCAAGAGCTATCATAGAGGTCTTTCACATAAGTTCTTAATGTATTTTTAAATAAATTTCCTGAGATTGTGCTATTTTTTGTGACTCTGGAGGTTCTACATACCAGGTCTTACCCAGTCATGTACTCAGTGAACAGCTTTTAAGAATGTCATTACTGTCCTTACATTTCATGATTTTTAATATGCAGGGCCACAGCTGGGAAAATGATTAAATATACTTTTGATTAAAACTTACCCCTTTTATACTAATCTTCAGCATATTCATTTGTTTCCTGAACTCTCAGCAAGTTGTTTCAGGCCTAACTCCTAACTTGTATTTAACTTTCAATATTGTTTTAGAGTACGATAAACTGTTCTTGGTATTTTTTTCTTTTTAAGACAGGTTGGCCTTGAACTCACTTTGTGGTATAGGCTGGCCTTGAACTTACAATGATCCTCTTGCCTCGGCCTCCTGAGTGCTACGATCACAGGCATGTGCCATCTATACTTGATATTTTGAGAAGAATAAATGACCAGTCAGTTTCTAAAAGTTACATAGCACAGTTCCAAGATTTTGTCTGCTCACATCTCTATAAAGTTTTAAATTACTTTAGACAACTGGACATAGGTAGTCATGATGAATGATGGTTGGAAAAAAGTTCAAGATCATAAGTGATACCACCATTCTTCAGAAAAAAGATAGATTTTAAGTTTCTGTAATTGGCATGATAAAGTTTGAGGTAATTAAAAGAGAACATTTACTATGTAGACCTGCTATGCCAAATTTTACAAGAAGAAACTAACTTTCCAAAATGTTAGAATGCATAATTATTTCTAGGCAAAATTTTTGATTAAACTGATATTTTATCAAAGATCAAACAAACTAGCTTTCTGTGAAATAATTTATTAATGATTTCCTTGATTTTTTAAGTACCTGTGAAACTTTGTATTTTGTTTCAACAATGAAAAGGTAACTAAGACGTGATTTATGGACTGACCCCAAAAAAGCCTAATTCAGCTACTATATTTTTTACTGGTACAATGGACAAAATTTAGGAAACCACTGAATTTTCTAAAATATATCTGAAGGCAGTCATTACCCACAATGTATTCACAGCCCAAATGCCATATTGGATTTACAGAGTGGAAGTTTCTCAAGCTTTGTTTTATAAATTAACATATCCTTATAAGAATTTTTGTTTGTATGTGGTGAGTTATTTTCATTTTTAATATGGAAAGAGGCACCAGAGTGAATAAGCTTTATCAAAGGCTATCTTATTTTTATAGCTGTATGTTTCAGACAAAAATCTTACTATGTAGCCCAGTCTGACCTCAAACTCATAGCAGTGCTGCAGCCTCAGCCTCCCAAAAGTGTTGCAATTATAAGCATGCACCATCATGCGTGGCTTTCTCTACTTTATATTTTCATAGGCAGAGAAGAGGGCTGTGTAAATTCTTTCTATCACTATTCTTGAATGTTCACTTAATGAATACTTACTGAGTATCTAGCATATGCCAGACACAGTATTGAACATTGAGCACACACTAGTGAGGACAAACATGACTCCTGGAGCTATTCTACCATGGAAGACAGATGCTAAAGGTATAATTAACTTGTGATCAGGATCACATATGGCTCCAAGAGTATTTAAGAAAGACCTGACCTGTAGTGTAAGGAAAATAGCCCTAAGGGCCTCACGTCTTCCAAAACTCTAAAAGATGTAAAGAACCACTTAAATAAATGACATACATGAGAGGATTGGTACAAGGAGAGAATATAGCCATGAGGAAGTCCTGAGCATTCCAAAACTTGAAAGAGCAGCATGGTTCAAACAAACTGCCAACCAAAAAGCAGTGGTGAAAATGTAATACAGTATAGCTGGGGGCCGGTAGATTAGCAGGATCTTATAGGTATTTGCTAAGGATTGTGAGTTTAACATAAGTCTTTAAGAGCTTTAGCAACAATATAAGAAAATGAACTGATTAAAAATGGGCAAAAGATCTGAACAGATACCTCATCAAAGAAGATGTACAGATGGCAAATAAGCATATGAAAAGATGCTCACATGTCATTAGGGATTGCAGATTGAAATCAGAAACAGCTGGGTACAGCAGTGTGTGCCCTGAGTCCCAGCTATGGGGGGTTGGGAGGAGCTAGAAAGATCACTTGGGCTCAGGAGCTTAACCAGCATGGGCAATGCATGGAGGCCCTATCTAAAAATAACAATACAATACAATGAGAGACAATCACACACCTGTCAGAGTGGCCAGGTCCAAAACCCTGATGACAGCAAATGCCCACAAGGATGTGGAACAGTATTATTGGTGGGGAAACAAAATGGTAGCCACTTTGGAAGATGAGCAATTTCTTAAAAAACTAAACATACTCTTAACATACAATCTGGCTATTTATGTACATTGCTATTCACTGAGAATGAATTGAAAACTTACAGCCACACAAAATACTACATGTGAGTATTTTTAGGTTTATTCATAATTGCCAAAATTTGGACATAGCCAAGAACAAGTAGTGGTACCTTCAGACTAGAGGATGTTATTCAGTGCTAAAAAGAAAAGAGCTTAACAAGCTCTGAAAAGACATTGGAGAATCCTAAGTATACATTACAAGTAAGTTAAAAAAAATCTGAAAAGGCTACTTACTGAGTGATTCCAAACGTATAATAATTCTGAAAAAAGCCATACTGTGGAAACAATAAAAAGATCAGGTGTTGATCTCGTGGTTCCCAAGGGAAGAGAGGTAGGGAAGGAGGCAGACTGACTAGAACTATAAGTTCACTGGTCAGATAATGACAGTTTGCTGGATTTCGTAAAATGGCATATGCAGAATTAGTGTACTATAATGACAAAGACAATGTGTAAGTATGGAAATTTTTCTTCTTAAACCTGGTTAATGTTTGCCTAAAACAAGAAAAAAAAACTCACCATTGGAGATATTTTTAATACTAAAAATCTGAGTTCTAGATATAATAAACAAATTGATACATCTTGTTAACATTTCATGCTTTATGCAGAGTCAAATACTTAATCATTATGACAAAAAAATAGTCACTGTAGCTAAAATAAATAACATTACCTAAAGTTACAACCAGCTATTCCATATATGTTTGATTTCAATGTTTTCTTTCTTGGTATTTCAGTAGATTATATATTTCATCTATCAAACTATTACTTGTATACTATTCAAGAATAATCAAATGTGCTCAAAGTAGGTATATATCATGTACCAAGGCAATAAATTCTAGCTTTGAGGAAGATTTCTAACCATTTATATAATCATTAAGAACTAATATTTGATCTGTAAATTGTAATTTCATCTTTTGCACACTGAGAAAAGAGATTAACAGTTTTATCCATGTCAAGATGCTTGTTTTGCAGGATTGATTCCATCTCTTTGAATAGTTCTTTCTCCAGCTTCCTCATATTGTCCAACATTGTTTTGGCTTTTTCCTGAATGATTAAAAGTATAAAAATAAATACACTCTATCAATCTAACTAAATTCCAACCCACCTCCATAAACAAGGTTTGTTCACTCTGGTTTCTACTCCTGGTTGGTTACTTCTCCTATTCTGTTGATACAGAATAAATGAAATTCTTTGGGGGAAAAAATCATTGCTCTAGATAGTTATGCATTGATAAGGAAAGTTAGTAGTTATTTTTAGTAAAAAAAAAGAGTATATAGTACGAATAAGCAAGAAAGTAAACAACCGGACAAAGGAGAACATGATATTAATTATGCATGGAAAAGTTAATCTCTATTTTGAAGAATAATTTTATGAGATTAAGGAAGGAGATGAGTGATGTTCACGGAAAAAGCAGCTAAAACAATAGACATTTTATCTCTCACTTGCTCCTTGTTTCAAGAAAGAAAAACAAAGACTCATGACTCTTACAAAAAGGACCATTTTTTGTTTTGTTCTTTGCTTTTCTGCAGTTCTGAGGACCAAACCCAGAAAGAGCCTTACACAAGCAGACGACAGCTGTTCTACCTCTGAGCCACTGGCCCTCCCAGCCCAGAAAGGAACAATTTTTAAGTTGTTGGCAATCTCCACTATCAGTTTAGGGTACCTAAAGAAGAAACGAACAATATAGATAATAAAAGTTATTATCTATGAGAAAAAAGGGAAGGTAATTTTTAAAGTTTCAGTTATGAGCAGGATGCTACAAAATAAAGATTCTTAACATAGACTTCAATATGAAATTGTATGTAATTTTATCTACATACAATTGTATGAAAAACTGCATTTCATATCAGGAGAAAAAATAAATTTTGTGTGTAAATGTTATTGGGATAATTGATGATCTTTTTGGAAATTACATTTAGATATAATATTTAATGATACACACAAAACAAATTTCAGATGAACTAAAGATCAAAATAATTTTTAAAACATATTGGAAAGAATAGAGAAGTTATATTCATCTTTATTTTTATTTTTTGTGGTATTGGGGATCAAACTCACAACCTCACACTTGCCAGGCATGTTCTTATGCCAGTGAGCTAAATCCCTGGCCAGGAGCTATATTCATTTTGAGGCAAGGCGGATCTTTTAGACTATGACATCAAGATGTCCTAAAGGAAAAGACTTAACAAATGTAACTGATTCAGTTTTTTTTTTTTTTTTTTTTTTTTTTTTTTTTGGTCTGAGAAAAAGTGTTAACTGTCAATAAATTGAGATTTTAAAAATTTACAGTATAAATTAGGCATAGTAATCTATACTATACCTGTAATCCCAGCTCCTTGGGAGGCTGAGGTTAGAGGATTTCTTGAGCCGAGGAGTTTGGGATCATCCTGGGCAACACAGCAACTCCCCCCACTTAAAAACAACGCAATGTAATAGAGTTTATGTTTTTGCCTCTTAGATGTAACAACCAAAAGTGACCCACAATCAAGAAATAGCTAAGAAAAAACAGCCATGGCATTTAAAAGGAAATCTGAGCGATAAACATAGATTTTCAATGTCATTAGTAATCAAGAGATGTAAATTAATACTACTAGTAGAATTAACTCTCCCCAAAACACAAAAGTTGGTATTTATAAAGCTAGAACTAAAATCCAGCTCTTTAATGCTTCTCTCACACTTCCATTAGTTTTCCTCCATTTTATATTCCCAATCAACTATTAATGCCTATTAAATAAAGCCTAAAATAGTACCAGCTTTTGAGTTTTTATTTCAATATTACTTTGCAAAAAAAAAGTCAAATGGCAATTCAATTTAGTTTAACCTATTTAATACTAAGCCTACAAAACTCACCCCTCAGAAGCAGTATAAGAGAAAAGGGCTAACAATGCTTGTGCCAGCAGGAGGGTGTGTGGAGGCTGCTCTGCGGGGAGTGAGAGGACAGAGCTGAAGCCCTGAAATACACCCGGGGCCTGGCCTTGGTGCAGGATCAGAGCGCTCCTCACTGGCTGCACCGGTTTGAGTCTGGAGGCTAAGCCCAGCCACTAGGCTAGCTAAGACCTAACCTGTGGACCAGTAAGTGCCCGCCACTTCATGCCAACAAGTTACAAGTAAGCATTTAGACTGGGGGCAAGAAGTGAAAACAAACTGGTCCCAGCACCAGGAATTCTTAGCAAATAGGGGTCTGGCAGCGTCCTTTAAGCATAAGCAAAACAGTCAAGGGGGAACCACACACAGCAATGACTCAACCATACTACGGGTAAAAATAAATCACTAGAGGAACACTAATTCATCTAAATGTAAGCCGAATGTAAGTGTATGTCCCTGACAAAGTAAATGGAATTACAGGCAAGAAAGGTAACAGAAAAGCAAAGAAAGAAAAGCAGCAGAAGTAGGTGAGAAGAGATGGCTAAACTTTTTCTTTAGTGCAGGGAGTCCTTTAGAGACCTCTTCCATTTCCTTTTCATCTGTCCTTACCCTTCTTAATGTCTCCTACTCTCAGACTCCTTACAAATAAATTGAGGACAATAACAGTTACCTGCCTCATAAAACGGTTCTAAAGGTTAAATGGAATAATCCACATAAAATAGTTATATAAGTGCTCAATAAATGTTAGCTATTGTTATTATGTTTAAAATATTAAATTTCCCTAAGAATCATAGCCCACATTTTTCTAAACAAAGAATATACATATATATATATATATATATATATATATATATATATATGTATAACCCAGGTCTACTATAATCTGTGCTTCTAAATAATTCCTAAATCTCTTTTTACATGAAGAAAGAGCTGACACTCCAAGGTTCAAGGTTCAAGATACAAATTGAATCATATTTTAAACTACTCTGATTGACACAACAAACGGTATAATCATACCTCATTATTATCAACTGCTTCCAGTGCCTGTTGGTGTTCCAGGTAGAGTGGATGCCTTCTGTCAGGCTTACGGCCTGCCTTCTTTTTAACTGGGTCTTCATGTTCAAATGTTGGTGAACAGGTATCCAACAATTGTGAAATATGTGGCACAAAGATAAAAGGCTTGAAGACAGATCTAGGAGAAAGAGTTTTTATGAAGTTGGCATGTCAACATATAAAATCTACCCAGCATTATTCTAAGTCTCCCAACAATTAAAAGTTTCTGTCAATAATGTTACATACTAATGCATTCCTAGCATATTAGTTATGTTCATGTCTGTCTCCTCTGTTGGATTAGAATCTCATTCAGGGCAAGAGATGATCCTTTATTTAGCTTACATCCCTAATCGACAGTCTGACATTTTATAAGCACTGTCAATAACCTAGTAGTATCTCCTAGAGTAAGAATAACTCTCAATGTTCGAGTTTGAGGACTACAATTTGGGGTGAAAATCAGCACCACTGTTGGTTAAGAGGACACAGGTTTCATTCTGTCGTCTTGAAAATATCTTTAGTCATATGAAAGATTGATGGATAATGAATATAAGTAACTTTTTGAGACAGGGTCTTACTCTGTAGCCCGAGCTGACCTGAACTCTGTAGTCCAGGTTGGGCTTGAATTCATAATCCTGCTGCTTTACTTTCCCAAGTAAAGGCTTACAGGCATGTATCACTAGACCCAGCTTATGAAATCATTTTTAAGTGAAATGTGCATTAAGTTTTATAAGAGATATTAATGACTTAAATCAAGGTAGTCTGTAAAAGTCCTAAAGATGTAACAAACAATTGATATTTTGTTTTACATCATTTAACCTATTTAGTAGCTGCTATTAATCATCTAATATTGCAAATCTGAAATCTGAGTAAGAAAAGCTATCAACTTTCTTCACAGTGCTAAATATATTCGCCAGAAAGACAAGTCAGGATAACTGCATACTAGAAACTATTAACATTTTCTCCTCATAAAAAATAAGAACAAGTTATATATATTTGAAAGTTACTAAAATCTAAACAAAAAATACACAAAAAGTTATTACACTATTTGTATAATAAACCCTTAGGCAAAATAATCCACATATTAATGATTTTTACCCCTCTCCCAGGGTCTTGCCGTTTACAGTACTTTGTGAGCTCACCTCTCAGGATCAGGAGTCCCCGTGAAAAAGTGAATGCAAGGAGAGTTGGAGTCTCGAGGTAAAACAGAAACCATGCTCGCAGTGGTCAGGAATCCTCCCTCCATATTAATGCCACTTGGTTTATCTCGGAGAATTTCCATCATAGTTTCAAAAGTTATGCTCCCTAGGAAATAATTTTTTAAAGTTTACTGGTACATATCTGCAGTCCATAATGATTACATTCTTTGTGGGGAATGGGTACGTGTACTTAACATGTCTCAATTCTTTTTTCTCCTCTTCTCCTTTATTGCCTCCCTTTTTGCTAGCATCAGATTCATTTATTTATAAGTCCTTACAATATTATCATACTTATAGATTCAACCAGACTAATTTATATGTTCTCAGCCTAGTTCCTAGGAACGAGGTCAAGGAACATATAAAATACATAAGACAAATATACTAAATCAAGGTACATGTTTAGATACCATGCTGGATTTTGTCCACGCTGGATTATAATAGTTGTTTTCTCTTTTTTCCTATCATCTGTCTTTCATTTTGCAATTTATATACTGAGCTTATATATTTTTCAATATTAAACTTGTATGTCTGATTTACATCACAACACTATGGTCTCACAGTGCATCCATTTTCTACAAATAACTCAAATTTATTCTTTTTATGGAAGAGTAGTACTCCACTGTGTATAAATGCCACTTTTATCCATTCATCTGTTGATAGACATCTAGGCTGCTTCCATGATTTAGCTATTATGAATTATGCTGCTGTAAACATACGTATGCATGTATCACTGGGACATGATGTCTTTTAAGTCTTTGGAGAAGATGCCTATAAGAGGAATAGCTGGGTTAAATGGAATTTCTATCTTTAGTTTTGAAGTAATCCCCATACTGACTTCCACAGTGGCTATACCAGTTCACAGTCCACCAATAATAAAGGGTTCCTTTTTCCCTAATGCCTCACCAGCGGTTGTTAATGGTTCATTTCTTAAATGACAGAAATTCTTTTGGGAGTGAGATAAAATCTCAGTTCTGTTTTAACTTGCATTTCTTGAAGGGCCAGTGATGCTGAACATTTTTTCATGTATTTATTGGTTGTTTGCACTCCCTCATCTGAGAATGCCCTTTTTTGGGTTGGATCTTTAAATTTGGGACAGGGATCTAATGATTTTTTTTAGTTCCTTATATATTCTAGATATTAGTCCTTTGTCCCCATGGAAAGTGCTGCCCCTCAGCTTCTGCCTCATGACTCTGGTCATCTGGTGCTGCCTCAGAGAGGTGAGCGAAGCAGACCAGTGTGGGGAGACAGCCACAGCCCTGTGATGGTCCTGCGGCACCTCGAACTCAGCTGCCCAGGGAGAGCTGTACAAGGTGTCCTCTGGGGGTCAGGTGCCCTGCGGATTTATTTGATGTTGTACTTGACAGTTTCTGTCCTGGTTATGCGTGTGTCTTGAGCCCAAAAGGACTCTGCTGGTGCTCCAGGCACTGACACACGTGAAGGCAGAGCAGCAGGAAGTCGGCGACTCCTAACCTGCTTCTTGCAGGATACCAGTGTTCAGTGATCTGTCCAAAAGACTCTTCAGAGCCACAGGAGAGGAAACTCCAGACACTAGCGGTGAGAGACAGAGAGGCGCAGGATGCACACACTGTGATAGTGTCCAAGTCATTGATTTTGGCAACTGCATTCTCACTGAATGCCTTTGCTGAATTAAGGGAAATGGAACATTTTCTAATCAGCCTAATACCTGTGCATTTGGCTGCTTTTCAACCGCTGCACTTGCCTTAATTCATAAGGCATGCCAAAAGCTAGGCTGAACTTCGCTGTGGCTTTGCCTTGCAGTGATACAGGGTCTTTTTGCCAGGTTTTGTTGTGAAGAGAAGGGAAGGAAAGGAGCAGGGGAGGGAGAGAGGGGGGAAAGGATAAAGGAGGTGAGGACTTGATGGTTCTGGAAGTCAGCTGTGGGCTGCTTATCTTAGGAGTTTGCCACTCGCACATTTATTCTTGATGGTGATGAATTTCACCAAGTTTTCATTTACTTTCACCATATTTTTGGCATGTGCTGTGTGACTTCCAGTACCTCATTTTCCAAGTATCCTGTGTGATTCTGCTGCTTTGGCTCAAGAGCTTCTGAGACAAGCGAGAAGCAGCTGCCACTGCCTAGGAAGGATGTAACGCACCGTGTTGCAGTGGGTGAGTGTTAGCTCCACCAAACACTTGGCTGACAGGTGCTGTTCCACCTCCACCTCCCCCGCTTTCGCTGTTCACCTTAAGAGGTGTAGTGACAGGGTGGGGATATAGCTCAGTGGCATAGTGCCTGCCTGGCAAGATCGAGGTTGTGAATTTGTTTCCTAGTTAAAAAAAAAGTGTAGTGGCAAGGGTTGGCCCAATTCAATTGTTTTATTCAATTGTTTTTTGTTTGTTTGTTTTGTTTTGTTTTTTTGAGACAGGGTCTCACTATGTATATCAGGCTGGCCTTGGACTCACTATGTAGCCCAGCCTGGCCTAAAATTCACAGCAATCCTGCATCAGTTTCCTGAGTGCTGGGATTACCATGCCTGGCTTCACATTCCAATTCTTTCAAAATTAGACTTTCTGTTTCTTGGATTTGGGCACTAATATAAGTATTGTCTGTGATGTAAGTATTTACATATACTTACATATTTCTTAGGAAATAATTTTTAAAACTATAAAATATGTCATTGTATATTAATACCTTGCAAATACAAGCTGATTTTTTACTGGTAATATGTCAACTGCAATTAGATGTACCTCACGATCATAAAGATACTTTCTTTTAAATACAAATCATGGAAAATCTGAAGACTACTATAATAAGTAAGAACTTTCTCAGAAAGAATAAATATTGCAAGAATGTACTCAACTCCTTTCCACTTAGAAAAAATTTTAAGGCTTTTTTTCTTTATGGCGCTGGGGATTGAATCCAAGCACTCTTGCAGGAAGGCCAGTGTTCTGCTCCTGACCCACAGCCTCAGCTCCTTTAAAGATGTACATTTAGTTAGCAAAGAGTCAGTGATATCACTAACATGATATTATCTGACTCCACTCATTCAGGAGCCAAATTATTAAAAGAATATTGTACTTAGTTTCCAATATTATACAACATAGTTTTACAAAATAACACATCATCTTTCCTATAATAATTTCTGACACATAATTTTATGTGAAAGTGTGATTTGGAACCTGAAAAGGAATGAAGACAAAACTCATGAATTTGGGAATGCATAATCCTGCTGGACTACTTTCAAAGCTTAAACATTTATTCTGTGCGGTGAAATACTGCATGTGATTATATTGCTTTATGTTTTCACATTTAAAATCTAGTATTTTAAATACTTTTTAAAGAAAAAATAGATAGAAAATTTATTTTACCTCTTTAGTAAACACAATGTATCTCTGGTTATAGAGAATTCAGAATTCAATATTTAGAAAACAACAAAAATTCAAAATAAATTGATATCATCAGATACCTCTGTTCTTTGCTTCACATATTCACCAAGCTATGGTTTGGAGCAACCATGACAAAAAATAATCTTACCTTACTAAATGCGTTTGCCAAAAGTAGCTGTCTCCCCAGCAACACACACGTATCATTAATTCTCTTCTGCAAAACTTAACACTCCCCATTTCTCCTGAATCAAATTAAAACTCCTTCAAATTAAAAGTTAGTTCTAAACTAAGCTGAAATGGCCTTGTCCTTTCTATCTATACGCATTCCTAATCTTTTCTCTATATCAGTCCTGCCTCTGTCATTAAACTATAAACTCTTTAAAGACAGGATGGGATTTTTCTTCTTGGTTTTCATTCATTCAACAAGTACTTATTTAGTTTCTATTAAGGTTCAAGTGCCATCCTAGGCATTGGGGATATACAGTGGATATACAGCCAAGAATGCTTCTGTTCATGAGTGAAAGCCCTTGGCAGGCTGGGGACTTAGCTCAGTGGCATAAGCACTTGCCTGGCAAGGGTGAGGTTGTGAGTTTGATCCCTGGCACCAAAAAAAAAAGTCTTTGGCAAAAGTTTGCTTCCATTTGTGAACTCTGGATTGAGTGATGAACATGACCAGGGCCATCTTCCCCAAAACTGTGGAACAAGTTACCACTTGTATCTATGTACAGTATCCATGTATCTCTATCTCTATAATTTACATCTATCTTTACATCTATCTAGAGAGATATGAAGTAAAAGTCTCCTGATCTGACAACTGAAGTAATCACAGTTAAGATGATCTTTTCTGAGAAGTTCAAAATAGTTTTAAAAGTTTTCCTTTGAATGAATACAATAAATACTCATTTTTAAAGGTAACTAGTACTGAAATTAGCTATTAAAAGAAATACATTTAAAATGAGAATCAATATTGTATGGTAAATAGCAGTATGAAAAGGCTTGACTGGGCCTTTTTTTTTTTGTACCAGGAATTGAACTCATGACGTCATGATTGCCAGGCAGGCACTGTGTCACTGAGATAAATCCTCAGCCCTCCAACTGGGCTTTTAACATGAAATAACAGTATTACAGAAATAAGATTATATAAGCTTATAGTTAACAAAATTTAGGTTAAATTTTCAATATAATAATTCTTAGGACATAGAATGAAATATAGTATTTTCAAAAATTTTTAAAAGAATATAACTATTTAACTTGCATTATGATCAGCCTATCAATGAATGAATGGATAAAGAAGATACAATTTTTTAATGCAATGGAGTACTACTCAGTCATAAAGAAGGATAAATTTGAGACAGTTCTAGGTAAATGGATACATCTTGAAATAATGTTCTTAAGTGAAATAAATAGGCAACTTAGATACTTAGTAACAACTTGTCTTAAAGCAAGGGCCTATGGATATAGCTGGCTTTGAAGGTTCTGGGTTTAATATTCTCTACTGAAAAACAAAAAAATCTCTAAGACTTACAAGAAAGGAATAAAAAGTTAAGTAACTCACAAAGACAAAGAGAACATGAAAAGCAAGAATCTTCCTCTATCCCATGGTAATATGCAATTAAAAGGCTCCAAGTCTATACCTAAATTATGATTTTGTGATATTTCAAATTAAAATTGACTTCCATATGAAATAATCTAATGTTCTGTTCTCAGTTAATCATGCGAGCTACTGATTATTTTATGTTAACAACAATAGATTCATTTAAGTCTACATGATTTTATGTAGTTTCTCTAAAATATAGTCAGCACTTAAAGTTCAAGAAAAATAACATACTGAATTTACAAATAATTTGTACCAAGAGTCTTATCATTGTTAATTTTGAAAAACACAGAAAGAAAAAAGGGGCAGTATTACATCTAAAAATATTAAAACTCAGCAATAAAACCTCCAATCCACACCTATCTATCAGGCACATAGCTTTAGCACCTAGGGAGACTTTAAAATGATTCAAGTCTAAATTCCTATAAATGGCAAGTTTTAATAAAAACAGTGTCAGAACCATAACACTGTGATAATATAGGTATTACAAAAAATGTTTTCTGTATTCAAAACCTACAATTCTCAAAATGAAAGGAGGATTTACATGATCTCTTGAGTGGGACAGCTATAAGTAATCCACTAGCAAGCACTGAATAAGTATTGAGATGGCTGCGGCAGGGTTCAGTAAATGAATGCAAAACCCAGGGTGCAATTTCATTGCAATTTAAACTAGTTATTTAAAATACATGAATGAATATAGATGCAATTTGGATATACATGCAGCACAGCTAATAGCTATCAGGTAGGAATAGTTGAAAAAAGCTAGGTAGGCTCTTCTACATAGAAAAATTATAGGAAAAATTAACCATAATGTACTAGTAGACAATTTTCTATAAAACTGTTGGACAGACACTTATTCTTTTGGTAAATTGCAGAAGGCTACAGGAACTGTACTTCACACTTGGAAAAGATAAGTTTCATGTGAGATGCACCCATTACTATACTCACATTCATTTTATCTATACTTTGGTTATTTCATAGTTAAATATGACAGACTTATTATGATATGGTAGCTAATTAATTTATAATTATTTCTCATTTTTTTATTTCTTTCATCCAATTATCCTAAGCATTAGGAATGGTATATGTCATAATAATAGAGACACAGTAGGTGTAAAAACTACATGTGAACCCATTTAATTTAAATGTTTTCAACGGCAGTTACTTATAGATTTATTACAGCACATTTCCCATTTGGAAAGGAAATTGGGAGTAAAATCTGAGTATGTATCATACTAGATATTCAGAGAATAGAAATACAAATGGGCTTTGTCTTGTTAATTAGTTCTAGATGTAACTTTTATCATAAGAAAATAATCAAAAAGAATACTCTCAAAAGATAAGTAAGAATAGCAGCAATATTCAAAGAAGTCTGCCACATACCTTAATGGATTCTGAGAAGAAAAGTAATCCCAATTTTGTCTAAAGAATATTAATAAAAATTTTTAAGTATCTAAGGGTTAAAATCTAAACTTGATTTTTCACAAAGAATCATATACTTCGCAATTGGACAATACTTCGCATATCTAAAAAAATAGTTTACAATGGCACAATGCTTTCAGTTTAAATAAAATTACATATTTACTAAATATAATTTCTCAAAACATATTTTATTACCCCTACATTATAACTCACAAAGTGTACCTTTTCATTCTGGTATTTGAATGCTAACATTACCTTTGTGTTTATTTAGAAGCTTATAGCCTTCACAGTATCTGCCCGATGAAGTCAACATCGTTGCGGTGTCAAGATAAGAATACGTTCCAGCAAAATCAAACTCTTTTTTACCGTCCCACCAACCCTGCTGCTTAGCATAGCTCCTCAGGTGTGGGTGCTCCCGATCAATCTTGGTTGTTATAGACAGTTGATTAGAAATATTACGAACACCCTCTATTTTCAAAGAGAGAAAGTACAGGAAATAAAAGTTACATTTAACATAAAATATCTACCTACATGGTATGGTTTTTAATAACTATTTAAGTAGAATTTTAGTCTTTAAAATTTTGTATGCCTCTATTATATGTTCTAAAAGATCTATTAATTTTAAATCAAACTTTTTGAGAAAATTGTACATAATGAAGCAGTTATGAGAACTAATTCAGAGAGATCTTAAGTGCCCCTTACTTAGATTCCCCACAAAATAGCATCTGGCAACACTATAGCATAGTAACAATAGCAAAATACTGGTACTGACACAGTCAACAAAGAAAACTTTTACTACCAAAACTCCTTCACGTTGTTGTTTTATGGCCAAACTCACTTATCTCCAATCCCAAATCACTAATTCACTCCAGGACATCTAAGTTATTCCCACTTCTTGAGTTGCCATAGAAAAATAAGAATAAATATTTGTGTACAGGTTTTTATGTGATGTTAAATTTTTGTTTCTCTGGGCTATAAAGGCACAGGAGTGCAACTGCTGGATCACTTATATGTTTAATTCTTTTAAAATACTGCCAAACTGTCTTCCAGAGTAGCTAGCAGTACATTCTTTTTTATTTATTTATTTAAAGAGAAAAAAAAAGGAAATAAAAAAACAAATCAGTAACAGGGTACAAATAATACAGAATTTCAAGAAAAAAAATACAGTAAGAAATCACTAGTTAATAGGTTACACATTGTCATCTTAGATATGGTTGTCCAAATTATAAAATTAAAGCATATAAAGTGGGCATTCATACAGTGAGAGTACAGACAGTTCCGTTCAATGATCCAACAAAAGCTCAGTAATACGGTTTTCCATCCTACACACTCAAACATGCAGTTATATTCCTTAGACCACCTTCCTTTCCTCTCTTTCTTACAATAACAATTACACTTTTGGGGTTTTTTTTACTCCCACAGTCCTTACTACTTTTTTTGAAGAGAATAAAACCTAACGTGACTAAACAGAACAGAGTCGGTTAGAACAGAAGGATGGGCATAGTTCATGATGTAAAAATAGAATACCAGGTGATCAAAAATGGTTACCATTGTGCCTCTTGCTATTTTAAAAAGAGTTGCCTATATCATCAGGTATAATAGAACTGATCAAAACAGTACAGTACAAGACCAATAAAACCTACACTGGAGACCTTACAGGACTTCAAAAGAAGATAATAGTCAAACCATAATGGGCATCATAGTAAATCTTACTGCCTTCAAAGTGGTTGCCTATACCCTCAAACTTGATATTACCAAACAAAATAGAATATAGTATAATCAGACAGAACAAGATGGGGAGAGCAATACTGGGGTTCAAATCAGGTTAATAGGAAAACAAAAAAGTTACTATAATATATCCTGCTATTTTTAAATTTAGTTTTCCCTTAATTAAAAAAATTAAAAATAGATTAATTTTTTTAAAAAAGGGTGGAGATTGAGATAAAAGAGGACATTGTAACAGAACAACACAGGTCAGAACCGAACAATTTAAGCATCATTGTGTTTCACCCCCAGATAATCTAACATAATAGTAATCACCATAGTGCCTCTTTCCTTGAATTATTTGAGTATAACTTCGTATATTGTAGCATCAAGCATATCAACACAGTGTGAAGCCATTTAAGAGAATTAAAGAATTACAGGGTATTTAGAACCAGTTAACAGAAAACGAACAACAGTTTCTATATTATCTCTTTGCCTATAAAAAATTTTGTTTATACTATCGCATATAGTAAAATATAGTAAGATACAACATGTTAAAAACAGTGGAAACAGATGTACAACAGCTTGATGGAACTTCAAAACAAGATGATATTAAATCAATACTAGCTTTTATGATGTGTTGTTTTCTTCAAAATAGCTATTTGTACTATCACCAATACTAAAATCAAACAACCCAGGTTAAAACCTTTGCAATTAATGAGTAAAAACATTATATGGCTTCAAACCAATATGATTGGGAATCATGATTACCACATTTTTTTGGTATTCTTATCATTTCTTACACTAGGGAAACTATTCGGTATTTATACATGTGAGTTTGATGTATTTCACTTATGAGTATGGTCTCAAGCTGCGTCCATTTATTTATAATATCTCAATGTGATCATTCTTTATAGCTGAGTAGTACTCCGTTGTATAAAAATACCACAACTTTTTTATCCATTCCTCAGTTGATGGACATTTAGGTTGTTTCCAAGATCTGGTTATTACAAATTGTGCTGCTATAAACATGGAGGCACATATATCACTATGGTATGATGCTTTCAGTTCTTCTGGGAATATGCCTAGAAGTGGAATAGCTGGGTCAAATGGGGCTTCCAGTCCCAGCTTTCTGAGAAATCTCCAGACTGACCTCCACAATGGTTGTCCTAGTCCACACTCCCACCAACAGTGCAGGAGAGTTCCTTTTTCCCCACAGCCTCTCCAGCATTTGTTGTTGGTGGTTTTCTTGATCTTGGCCATTCTTTCAGGAGTGAGATGAAATCTCAGTGTGGTTTTAACTTGCATTTCTCTAATGACCAGTGATGGTGAACATTTTTTCATGTATTTATTTGTCGTTTGTATTTCTTCATCTGAAAATTGTTTATTCATCTCAGATGCCCATTTTTGAATTGGGTCTTTGAATTTTGGGGGTCTGATTTTTTTTTAATTCTTTATATGTTTTAGACAGAAGTCCTTTGTCTGAGGGGCAGTTCACTAAGATTTTTTCCCAGTTTGTGGGTTTTCTTTTCACTATGCTGGAGATTTCTTTTGACGTGCAGAAACTTTTTAATAAGAGGTGATCCCAATTATTATTATGTTTTTTGTCTTTTTTGTTTTTATCGGTACCAGGGATCAAACTCACGACTGCCTGCTTGCAAGGCAGGCGCTTATGCCACTGAGCTAAACCCCCAGCCCCTGATCCCAATTATTGACTCTGGGAAGTATTTCTCATGTGGTTGAGTCCTGTTCATGAATTCTTTACCTACTCTTATGTCTTCAAGGTTTTTACCCAATTTGTCTTCCAGTAGATTTAGTGTTTCTGTTTTAATATTTAGATCTTTGATCCATTTAGATTTTATTTTAGTGCATGGTGATAGGCATGGGTCTAGTTTTAGTTTTCGGCATATGGAGAGCCAGTTTTTCCAACACCATTTATTAAAGAGACTGTCGTTCTTCCAGTGAACATGTTTGGCCCCTTTATCAAAAATAAGGTAGTTGAGTGTGTTGGTAGTTGTGGTTGTATCTTCTAATCTATTCCACTGATCTTCGGCTCTGTTTTGGTTCCAGTACCATGTTGATTTTACTACAGTTGCTTTGTAGTATAACTTCAAGTCAGGGATTGTGATACCTCCTGCCTTGTCTTTGCTGCTTAGAACTGTCCTTGCTATTCTAGGTCTCTTCTCACTCCAGATGAATTTTAGGAGTGATTTCTTGAGTTCTGTTAGGTATGTTGATGGTATTTTTATCAGGATTGCATTGAATCTGCATAAAAGTTTTGGGAGAATGGCCATTTTCACAGTATGTATTCTTCCTATCCATGAGCAAGGGATGCCTTTCCATTTTCTGAGATCTTCTTTGATTTCATTTTTCAGTGTATTATAATTTTCCCTGTATAGGTCTTTCACTTCTTTCGTGAAAATAATTCCTAAATATTTCAATTTTTGGTTGCTAGTGTGAAGGATGTGGCCTCTCTTATTTCTCTCTCTGTGATCTTGTTGTTAGTGTATAGGAATGCTATTGATTTTTGAGTATTGATTTTGTATCCAGCTACATTACTGAATTTATTTATTATATCTAAGAGTCTTTCAATGGAGTTTTGGGGATCTTCTATATAGAATATCATGTCATCTGCAAATAATGTTACCTTAACTTCTTCTTTTCCTATCTTTACACCTTTTATTTCTCTCTCTTGTCTAATTGCTCTGGCTAGTATTTACAGAACTATATTAAATAGGAGTGGTGATAAGGGACATCCTTGTCTTGTACCTGATTTTAAAGTAAAGGCCTTCAATTTTTGGCCATTTAATATGATATTGGCTGTTGGTTTGTCATAGACAGCCTTTATTATATTGAGGTAAAGACAATCTATTCCAATTTTCTGCAAGGTTCTTATCATAAATGAATGTTGGACCTTATCAAAAGATTTTCTACATCTATAGATATGATCATGTGATTCTTACTTTTGGCTCTATTGATATGGTGTATTACATTTATTGATTTACATATATTGAACCATCCCTGCATACCTGGGATGAATCCCACTTGGTCATGGTGTATGATCTTCTTGATGATTTGCTGCATCCTATTTGCCAATATTTTATTGAGGATTTTTGCATCTGTGTTCATTAGGGAGATTGGTCTGTAGTTCTCTTTTTCAGTTGGGTCCTTCTCTGGTTTTGGTACTAGAGTAATATTTGCTTCTAGGAACGATTTAGGAAGGACTGCTTCCCTTTCAATTTCATTGAAGAGTTTGAGGAGTGCTGGCATTAGGTCTTCTTTGTATTTCTTGCAGAATTCTGCAGTGAATCCGTCTGGGCCTGGGCTCTTCTTTGTAGGTAAAGATTTAATTACATTTTCAATTTCATTAATAGAAATTGGGTTATTCAGTAGTTTTACATCTTCATGACCTAGCTTTGGTACTCTTCTAGGAATCTGTCTATTTCCTCTGTGTTATCAAACCTTTGAGAGTAGAGGTTTTGGAAATAGGTGTTGATGATCTTTTGTATTTCTGTAATAATTTCGCCTCTTTCGTTCCTTATTGCATGAATTTGAGCTTTTTCTTCCCTTTTTAAAATAAGGTTGGCTAGGGGATTGTCAATTTTATTTATTCTTTCAAAGAACCAACTCTTTGATTCATTGATTTTTTGGATTTTTTTTTGGTCTCTATTGCATTGATTTCTGCTGATTTTCATAATTTCTTCTCTTCTTTTGGCTTTGGGCTTGACTTGCTCTTCTTTTTCTAGACGTTTGAGGTGTAACATCAGGTTACTTATTTGTATTCATTCTGTTTTCCTGATGTGGGGACTCAGTGCAATAAATTTTCCTCTGAGGACAGCTTTCACAAAATGCATCCCACAGATTCCAGTAAGTTGTATTTGTGTTTTCATTTGTTTGCAGGTATTGCTTAATTTCTTCTTTAATTTCCTCTGTGACCCACTTAATCCCCAAAATATGTTATTCAGCTTCCATGTGTTTGTGGGATTTTTGCAGTATCTTTTATCATTAATTTCTAATTTCATAGTGCTATGGTCCGACAGCATGCAAGGGATAATTTCAACCCTTTTGCATTTATTTAAATATGTTCTGTGAATTAATATATGGTTTATTTTAGAGAATGACCCATGTACTAGCAGTACATTCTTACAGGGAATGATTCAGTTTCCAGAGTCTCATCAGGATTTGATGACATCATTGTTTTATTTAGCCATACCGATAGAGATATAATAACATCTTACATGCACATTTCATGTACATTTCCTTAATGGCTAATGATGCTGAACATCATTTACTATGTTAATTTAATATCTATATTGTATACCTCTTTAAGTGAGAAGACTTTTCATATCTTTTTACCATTTTCTAATTGGATTGTCTGCTCTTTTTTTGGTGGGGAGCACCGGAGATCAAACTCACGACCTCGCGCTTGCCAGGCAGGCACTTTTGCCGCTGAGCTAAAACCCCAGCTGGATTGTTTACTCTTGACTTTTGGGTATTCTTCATTTATTCTAGATATTACTCTTTCCTATGAGTTACATAAAAATAATCATAAAGATGTTTGTAACAGCAAGAGAACTCTTCTAAAAATATTGTGACACTAGGCAGGGTGTGGTGGTGTATGCCTTAACCCCTACACTCAGGAGGTTGAGGCAGTAGGATCATGGTGAGTTTGAGGCCATCCTGGGCTACATAGTGAATTCAAGGCCAGCCTGAACTACATAGAGAGATCCTGTCTCAAAAAATAAAAAATTGTGGCACTAGGTTACAAACAAGACATTAACAAATTAATGTATGGAACAGAAAAAGTAAAACCCTGTTCTAAAGAGATCATAATAGATGAAACAGATTATAATAAATGAAAATTGGTAACATTTTAAAACTGAATCTTCCAATACAAATCAATTAAGTTATTACGCTAATGGCGATCCTCACTACAAAAAAGAAGACTTGATGTATAGAATCAAAACAGCAAAGAGGAACTTTAATAATATATAACTCTCAATAGCTTAACAACTTAGTTCTTTTTTAAATGAACGTATATATTTAGGATTATGCTCGGGACTTCCCAGAAGATGACAGACTGGTGAACAACAGAGAAACATGTCCAGACACTGGAACATAGCCATGAGGAAGAGAGGAAGGAGGGAAGAGGATCCTCGGGACCCAGAAACAATCTGAAGTAAGCATTGAAGCCCATGGGGAGAATGAAGAGAGAAACCACAACACACAAGAAGAAGAGAGCAAGCAGTGCTTTACGCCTGAGCCCTGACTCACTGCATGAGAAGGGCAGCTTGACCCTCCAGAAGCATGGTGACTATAGCAAGGCAGAAATTCTACACAAGAATAGAACATTAAAAGCTGTTAGAGGAAAGAAAGAAATTGCCTTTTTGAAAGCTCACCAGAATCACATCAGACCTCTCAACACAAACCCTCAAGAAAAAGAGAGCTTGCAGTATTTCAAGCCCTAAACGAAAATAACCTCCAAGCTAGATTGATGTACCCTGCAAAACTATCTTTCAAAATTGATGGTGAAATAAGATTTACTTCCATGACAACACATGAGGAAATTCATGAACACCAAACCAGCACTCCAAAATGTCCCAAAGGATATTCTAGAAAGAGATAAGGAAGATTACAATTCAGTGAACTCCAATATAATGAATGCATCAGGCAAGACAAGCAGTTAAACAGAGGAGAAAAAAGGGAGCCATCAATAGGAAAATTATATGACAAGGATAAGTCAATACATATCAGTTATCAGTTATCAATGTTAGTAGACTCTATTCACCAATCAAAAGAAACAGACAAGCAGTATGGATCAAGAAGCAAGATACAAGGGGCTGGGGATTTAGCTCAGCGGCATAAGTGCCTGCTTGCAAGCAGGCAATCACGAGTTCGATTCCAGGTACCGATAATAAGGAAAAAGACAAAAAAAAAAAAAAAAAAAAAAAAGAAGCAATATCCAACAATATGCTGCATACAAGCAACATATTTAATTCAAAAAGAAATTCACAGACTGAAAGTCAAAGGATGGAAAACAATACTTCATGTGGCAGGAATCTGGAAAAAAAGCAGAATTAGCTATTCTACTTACAGGCAAAGTGGATTTCAAGCCAACACTGATTACGAGAGACAAAGAAGGTCACTACATCCTTGTAAAGGGAACAGTCCCAGAGGAAGAGAAATCATGAAAGTGTATGCACCAAATATCAATGCACCTGTGAAACAACTATTAATGGACATGAAAAATCAAATAAGTACTGATACAATTGTAGTATTGTATTGTAGAGTGGGTGTTATGGTTTGAGAACTGGTGGTCAACTTAACGCCAGCTGGATTACATCAGCATGGCATTGAGAGAAGATGCTCCACCTGAGGAGAGTTGCCAGGATAAATAGGTGGAGAAGAAGGAAGGTGTTGAGAAGGTTGAGACGTTAAGGAGGCATTGTGGGTTCTCCTACGAGTTGCTGTCTGAGCTGTGGGTTCTCCTGGAGAAGCTTTGGTCTTCACATCGAGCAGTGCTTCCTGGCTCCGGAGGGGAAGACATGTGCTGCCTGGTCTCCAGAACGAACTCGTCACGCTGCTTCCTGGCACGTACCTGACTGTGCTTGTTATCGGAGGAGCTCGGGGCCTCTGTGTCGCTGAGGATGGCTGTGGTGCCTTTCAGGATAGCCCTGGTCTTTGTTGTGAGTGTGACTTCTCAGATCCAGTGTAGAACCCTCATCCCAGTAACACAGCTCCTTCACCCTGCTGGCATGGACTTTCTGGCTTCCACCGCTGACCCTTGGGTCTTCCCGGCACGGATCCGTAAAAGAGACTGGCGTGAGTCCTTCTTGTGGGCTCTGGACCTCCAGTTGGACTCGTGGGAGGCATTGTCCTGAGCTCTGGATTTTTACCTGGACTCATGTGGGACATTGTCATTGGGTTTAGGCTCTTGACTAAATAATCTGTGTCTTTGGTGTTGCATATAGATTTCCTGCAATTTCTTGTGTTAACTTCTGGTGACCATTATAAAAATATTATGAACTCCATGCCCTAATCCTAGTTGTTCTCTGTGTACAACTCCTGACTACAACAGTGGGGACCTCAATAGTCTACTCTCACAAATAAATCAAGTAGATACAAACTTAGGATGGAAAGATTTTAATTTCAAGTCTTTCCTTTTCTAACCTAAATCACTTTACATCTCTGATTTTCCCATTTGAAAAATTAGAGGAATACATAATCACAAAAAATGGGAAAGAAAAAGCAAAGCATTCAAAAAGTCAAATTGCCTTATTGCATTTAATGATACCACATTTTATATTTTACTCTTTTATCAATATATCTTTCTAGCCACCAACCCAAAGCTATCCAGCTCCCATCCGACTCCTCTTTTCTCACTTCCACACTTCCCCATTATAATTTTGATGTCTGGCCCAAGTTTAATGATAAAGGGTTATTAAAAAGTGAAAAAGCCCTGTCAAGCACTCAAAAGTTGTGCCACAGACAGTATATTTAATTTATATGAAATTCCTATTCCTAAAAATAATGCTGCCCTTTTCAAGAATACTCTTCATAATGCTCTGTCAGTGAATATTGTTTCTAATGTTTAATTTTTCCCTGTAGTTTGTTTTATCACATTGGATTATAAATCTTAAAGGACATTCAAATACAATTATCAACAATTAAAGGTGTATTTCATTAACTGAATTACAAAAAACTGTTCATACCTTGCACTTTTTCTGCTGCCCAATACTTCCCTGCTGTCTCCAGAATCCAGGCTTCGTTCCTATCAGCTATCAGGAAACTGTTGTGATAGCTAAATTCCATGCTATCTTCTGTGCAATTTCCACCCTGGCCATATTTTTCTAATAAATCAACAATGACATTTAGGGCTTTTTCAGCTGTATCTGCTCTTTCAAGACCAAGTCTAAAGTAAAAACATAAAAATTCAGAAGTTAAATTTCCCTTATTTTTCTTAAATAATTTCATGGTATTGAGACTGTTTACATTCAAAGTAAAAATTTCCTTCTAGTTAATTTAACAGATAAAACAAAATCTAACTTAAATTTTTCCTCTTCAAGTCGGTTTGAGAGCCAGGTGTGGTAGCACACATCTGTAATCTCAGCACTTGGGAGGCTGAGGCAGGAAGATTGCTTCAAGTTTGAGGCCAGCCTGGATATATAAATAAATTCAAGGCCACCCTGTACTACATAAGGAGACCTTGTCTCAAAAAGTCCATTTGGAATCACGGAAGCAAAGTTTTTTAGGTCAAACAGATCTATGTTCAAACTCCAAGTTGATAATTTTTTGGCAAGTTACTTTATCTCTGAACCTCATGTATGTTATTTGTAAAGTGAGGATACTAATGTAAGCTCTAGGAGTTTACTGTGAAAGTTAGTAAACTATGTAATGAAGTTCTGTATATTAGTTGCTTCTAATCAATCATAATTTGTGACTCTTTCCTTTTTCTCAATCAATACTTGTGCAAGTAATGAAATTTTATCCTGGTACTCTGAAACATCTGTGGCATAAACTATAAAGTCGAAGAAAGGAAGGAAGCAAGGGAGAGAGGAAGGAAGGAAGGAATAAAAGAGGGAAAGAACGAGGAGGAAGAGGAGGAGAAGAGAAGGAGGAGGAGGAGGAGAAGGAAAAGAAGAGAGGTAACACTAAAATTTAGGAAGTTCTGTAGTGGAAAACTATAATAGAAAAATAACCTGACAAGGTCCATGCCCAGCAGTGCTTCCTCGGCGCAGACTTCCTCTCTTCCCCATACAGCTTCATTCCCAATGCAAACTCCGTGCTCATTGGCTCCCATTTCTGCGCCCCACAACCAGGCTGGGCGACTAAGGACAACAGCATATGTTTCGGGAACTTGCTCAATTTCTATATAAGTACACTGTAAGAAGACAAGTCACACAACAACCACAAAATGAAAAAGGAAAAGTTATCAAAGTCCAAAATTTACAACATTCAGAATATATAGCCATAATGGAGATAAATGAAATGTAAATAAAAACTTTCAATAATAAAATACTAACTTTAAAACATTCCAAATCAGCTCTAAAGCATTAATTTGAGTATTTGCAAATTGTCTTCTAAGATAATTCAAAAAAGTTTACTTTGAACACACTAAGACTTCTACACAAACTGAGACAATAAAATATAAAGTGTAAGAGTTGGGAAGAAAAGTAAACAAAAGCGGGTACGGCAACTCAGGAGAAAGGCTTCTAGTGATGACGTCTTATAGTATTTTAGATGATTTTGTGTGAGTTCAAGACAAAAGAGCTGTTCTCAAACCTCAAGTCCAAGTGTTTCTGATGAAGAACATAAGTGTTGCCATGGCAACACTTAAATATGTGAGTGCCATGTAGAGGCCTACATCATGTGAGTGTGGCCCATCAGGTTTGCCCACAGCTGTGAAAAGAACGAGAGCCACTGTTTCCCAAGACGGGCTACATTTAAATATACAGAGATCAAATGAAAATGGAAGGCCGAATGAAAAAACCATCTCAATAAAAGAAAAAAATACTGAGTAAAAATTTTAAAAGTATGTAACTTATCAATAAAAGATAATATGAAATTCATTTTAATTTCCATGTTAAATGAGTTTTTAAAATGCATTTTAAAAATGATCCTTTAATGTGTATACTATAACTACATAAAATGCACATTGATAGTTAGTCTACAGTACAGTAAACCTTTTTTACAAGCCATAAAATTTTTTTCCAGACGGTAATAACTTCTTTTATTCTGCATCTTTTGGAATTATTTTTGTCCATCAAATTCAGCTGAAACCCCAATTCCTAGTGAAGCTTTCCTTGATCTCTAGTTTAATTAGGTGTTTACCCTCTGCTGCCAGAGCATACTGCTTTTACTTAAATTTAGCATATATTTCCTTTATAATACTTTATAGCAGGGTTAGTTGGATATATAGGCTACTCCTACAATAGACTCTAAGCTCCTAAAAGATTATCCGAATCTTCTTAAAAAGAAAAAAAAAAGGGTCTCACTGTGTAGTTTGGGCTGACCTTGAACTCACAGCAATCCTCCTGCTTCAGCCTCCTGAGTCCTGGGATTACAGGCATGCAGTAACACACCGAGCTGACAGTGTCCCAGTATTAATGGTTAACTTTACACGCCTTACCCTATCTAATATGTTCTCACATAAACACATTCAAATATTTCCTCAATTAACAATTTGTTGTTGATTCAACTTCTTCCAAATCATTAAAATTACAAACTAGCTAAAAGTCTATTTCTAATTCAAATAACTCTTTACTTTTGAATTTTAACTTTTGTAATCGCTACCAAATTTCTGCCTAATGATAAAATACTTCTTATGATTTAAAGAGTTTTGCCCTAGAATAAATTACAGGACATTATGGCGGTGGAAGGCCAAATTGGGGATGTTTACTCTGAGGTCACTTCCTCTTTTCCCTATTACAACTTCTTTTTTCCTTTCCCAGTGGGTGCAAAGAAAATTCCAATCAGCTCCTCAGGTGTCATCAATGCCCCCCCTAAGCACCCCCCCCTCAAAGGTTACATAATCCCCAGACCCCATACCTCAACAGAGGAAAACCCAGACTGCTCCCAGTTATGGGCTCTTTCACGTCCTTGGAATAAAGGCCACTTTTACTTTTATATTCTGCTCCTTTATTGCATCGAAAAACTCTAACAATGATATTTTTAAAGAAGTACATTGATAACAAGTACTGTGTGTATTTCACCTACCTTAAGCTGTTCTCCCAAGTTATGAACTCCAGCAGGAAAATAAACTACCTCTTGTACTTCATTGCAGAGTCTATCTGAATTTTTTCCAAAAATAATCCTGTTATCAGTTGTTGATGGAGGTAATGCCACAAAAGTGTCACAGGAACAGGGATCCATTTTTGAAAAACTAAAAACCATATAAAGATTTCAAAATAAAAAGAGAAAAACCATGTTTAAATATATACAGAACAAAGGATTTTACTACCACGGGATATTATTGCCATACCTAATAAAGGGTGTTCATTAAAGTTTTAAACATCATATACTATTAGAAGAAAAATATGTTTGAAATCAACCTACAAATCAATACTGCAAGAATCTCTAAGAAAGTGGCATTGAGACTTCTAGTCTGCCGACCAAATTTATTCTCTAAAAATCTTTCTTTCCTAAAGCCTTCCCTGAATTTTCTGTCATTACTCCCATATTGGGGAGTCTCTACACCTTCCTTACTGTTGTGAAGGCCATACAGTATTGTACTGTATTTGTGCATTATGAGTCCCCTTACTGGACAGTGAGATCCTGTAGAGGTAGGAGTATGTTTTACAAATCTTTGTATTGTCACCATCAGAACTTATTTTATGGGAGATGGGGGGGGGGGCTTATATTTCCAGTATTTCCTCAAAAGTAGGAAAAGATCTCTTTTGACCTGAAGAATACACACAGATTATAATATTGAAAAGACAAGGGGGCTGGGGATTTAGCTCAGCGGCATAAGCGCCTGCCTTGCAAGCAGGTAGTCGTGAGTTTGATCCCCGGTACCGATAAAAAAAAGGAAAAAGACAAAATACTTGAAACAGAATCACTAATTTGGACAAATACAAAGGATGTCAGTAAAATTTTAATTTCCAAGTGGAAGTCACTTATTTAACTTGATCCTGATTGCAGAATATAACAACTAGGGTATGTCTTCATTTGTAATTTGGAAAATCTAAAATAGCTTTAGAACACCTATATTATTATTTTGCTTTAAAAATAGACACACAGCTTTAGTTACCTTCTTGTCTTTATTTTATAACATCCAACTCTTAGAGTAGCTTTATACAACCAGATATTAGCAATTAAAAACAAAACTTACATCTAATGAATGTTTCATTCAAAGGAAAACAAAACGACTCAAGAAATAACTTATTTGAAAACGCCTAAGGGTTTTCGCTTTTCAATGACAAATCACCACCATGTCTGTTCTTTTCTTTGTGTATTTCAACAATATGTCTTGGGTCACCTTCCTCTTGTGTTTCAAAGTTAGTTCTATCATTACATAACCTTGGCAGGTTAATAATCCCTTTCTCCATGCTGCCAGGCTGCTCAGTAAAATAAATGCATACCATCTAATGAGATTATTATAAGAAATCAGCAAGACAATCGAGCATTTTGAGAGAGAGAGAGAGAGAGAGAGAGAGAGAGAGAGAGAGAAATATTTTTAGAGAAAAGGTTTGTCAAAGTTGCCCACACTGGGTTCCAATTTGTGATCCTCCGGCCTCAGCCTCCCAGAATGCTGGAATTAAAGGTTTGGGCCACAGGCCCGGCCAATAGGCTTCTTCTATACAACTGTGCTAAATACCAATCCCAAAGATTTATCAACGTCATCCCCAGCCCCGTGCGCTCTATGTCCACTCAAAACCCTAAGTTCCAAAGGTCATGACGTTGCACTAGGTGATCTGAGCTAAAAGGGGTCAACTGGAAGCTAAGGAAACTTCGCCCAGTGAGAGGTGAAGCTTTGATTCTAAAACTTATTCATCATCCAATATTTATGGAATGTAACTCTGCCCCAGGCACCCTGCAGGGGAAATAATTAGGAACAAAGGAGCCCCCGCTCTTGTGGAGCTGACATTCTTTTTTATACGCTTTTGTGCAAGGGAGTTCAGAAACTGCACATTGCTGGAACCTCACAAACATAGTCACTTAGGGTAAAGGATTATTATCTCCACGAAACGTGCAGACAAGTTTTGCAACTCGAGTCAGCGTTCTCAGAACATAATGGGTTTGTGCCCCTCAGAAATGCGACCCCACTGTACATCTCCGGGGTTCCTCCGTCTGCTACGCACGCCCCTCCCTCATCCCCACCCCTCACCTGTTTCCAAGCTACTTGAAGGGCAGGAAGGAGGAGGGGTAAATAGGAAGAGGGAGGTGCCACTTGCCGGAAACTGTCACCTTTGACCCCGGAAGTTTCCTGCTACGGCTGTCGGGTCAATTCCGGTTCGGCGGTGGGGCGGGGAGGGTTTGTTTACGTTCCTCACAGACTCGGCTGCTCCCTTGTCCAACTGAGAACTTCAAGATGGGGAAATCCTTCGCTAACTTCATGTGCAAAAAGGACTTTCATCCTGCCTCCAAATCTAATATCAAGAAGGTGAGTAAAAGAACTTGGAGAGGTGTGTGGGCCGCGGCCGCTAAGTCCCCAGAGGCTGTTGGAGAGGAGCCTGAGGCTGAGGCTCCTGGAACCGCTGCCTCTTCCCGCGGAAGCCCTGGTGCTCTCGCTTCTTCTGTCTCGCTGAGCAGCTTGCTGACGAGGGGGATCCGCAACCTTTATTCTCCATCCGTGAGGAGACCAGAGCCCCTCGTCGTGTAAACGCGGAAAATGTGGAGACCGGTGTTACAGCTCCTCAGCAGTACTTCTCTTAGCTGAGCTGAGTCGGGTTTGGTCTTTTGGGTCCCAAAGGCCACAGCTCCTTAGGTCTGCTCTCTTGTACAAAGGTGACTCCCCATCTGTGACCCGCCAGGACAACACCCCAATTTTGTCACTAAGGCGCATTGTTTTGAGTGTATAATACCCATGTTCTTTAGAATATTTTCTATTGAATTACTAATTTTAACTTTATGAGTTATAGAAAACCATAAGTACTTAGGGAAAAGTAAAAAAGAAAGTTAAGTATTGAATTTGTGTGTTTTTTTTGAGACAGGTTCTCGCTTTGAGCTCACTTTGTAGCCCAGGTTGCCTCCTGCCTCAACCTCCGGAGTGCTGGGATTACAGGCGTGAGCCACCATGCCCGGCTTTGAATTTTTTTAATATTCAGCGTTTATTAAAAAATTTCAACATCAGCCGGACGTGGTGGCTCGCGCCTGTAATCCCAGCATTCGGGAGGCTGAGGTGGGAGATCATTGCCAGTTCGAGACCAGCCTGGGCTACAAAGTGAGCTCAAGGCCTGCCCAAACTGCATAGCAAGACCCCGTCTCAAAAAAGACCAAAAAAAAAAAAAAAGTTATGTAATAATAAGTTATCAGACAACTCAATAAAAACAAAAAGCAAAAAAAAAATTTTTTTTCAACATCAACTGTCTAAAAAATAGCAGAAATAAATTCCTGTATGAACTACAGTGAAAATACAAATAGAACTCTACCAAAAAAATAATCTTTGCTTCTGTTGTCACACCGAGGGCATTCTTTACACATGACAGTCACATGTTCCACACACACCTCTCACTTTCACTCACAGCACATGTGCTTAGCTTTCCTTTCCTGTGTGGTGGGCCTCTCTTCCTGTTTTGTCAGGAGCTTCCTACTGTAATGTACAATGCATTTTGCAGGAAAATAAGATATAATAAAATAAAATATCAAATATGTATGAGTGCTTAGAATAGTCAACATTTTCACAAACCTAAAAGATAATATCAAATAAAAATCTGTGTGAACTTCAATATAAACACAAACAAAAGTCTAGCACAGAAATAACCTTTGTTTCAACTGTGACTCCCAAGGCAGTCTTTACACATGAAAGCTGCAGGTTCTGTATGCAAGTATTGCTTACAGTGATAACACATATGTTTTGTTCCTTTAGGAAAAAGTTGACATCTTTTTGGTTTTCTTGTTGACTTAGTAGGTCTGTGAGAGACTGCGCCTGCCTTTTCGCCTGTCAGCTCACAGGGTGCTCCACAGTTTTTTCTCATAGCTCCCCAGGCAGAAACATTTTGTTTTTCAGCTGCTGTAAATGATCTCTTATGGTTCCAGTGCCAGTCCTCTAAGAAGATTTCTAGATGATATTTTGTATTTGTTTTTTTAATATAAACTATCAAACTATGCCACATATGTTTAGGATCAAGTAAAACACAAACATTAGCCCACACTTTGTGTTTCAAGTGACATCATACTTGCTGTATCAGTAGCATCAATAACATCTACTTTTCCTTTGGTTTTGTTGTCCAAAGTTACCATCTTAGGCTTTCATTTTGTTGAGGTTTCCCTATCTGTATTCTCGGTATGGGACACTGTTGACATCAACAGTGCCAGTTTGTTTTTCTTTGCCTTAGAGGAGGCCAGTGTTATTATCATCTTCATATTACATACATGAATAATCCAATGATTCACTTTTAACCCCCTCCAAAACTTTGAAATCTGACTTTTCATGTGCCATTGTACTGAATTAGACTACTTTGGTAAAGTACATGTTTATATAACAGAAAAATGGTGTGGATGTGTTTTACCCTCTGTGATGCTCAGCTAAAAATACACAAAATTTCTGTTAAATAGAGCATAAATCCTGGTAAAAATCCTGGTTTGACACTTTTGTACACATGCATGCACTTTGCTGTTGGTCAAACCAAGTGGGTAAACACAAAGATTGCTTCCTGTATGCTCCAGGTGCAACTACTGAAGTGTACATCTGGCTTCTATTATGTTAAAGTACAAATGTACAAACAGGTATGGGATGGCTTTTTTTTTAACCCAGTGTTGTGTTCCATAAGCTAAAGATAAGAGTATATGGGGCTGGGGATTTAGCTCAGCGGCATAAGCACCTGCCTTGCAAGTGTGCGGTCATGAGTTCGATGCCTGGTACTGATAAAAAGCCGAAAAAGAAAAAAAAAAAAAAAACAAGATAAGAGTATAAAATAAATTCATTCCTTGTTTCTGTTCTTCATCTGACTTGATAGTACAGTGTTGATGATCTTGGAGTAAAATTTAGCATCTTAAATAAATAATTACAGATTGCACAAGTGTATAGAAGGACCATGGCAAAAATTATAGAGGTAGGGACTGGAGATTGAGCTCAGCGGCACAAGCGCTGGCCTTGCAAATGTGCAGTTGTGAGTTAGATCCCTGGTACTGATAAAAAAAAATTATAGTGTTGAAAAGCAAAATAAAGTAGATATTTCAGTCACTTTCAGCCCTCAGACCTTCCATTAAAATATTCAGGATCTGTGATCCTTAGTCTCCTAATCTACAGATTTAGAATGATCAGCATGGTTGCCTTGACTTGTAAAATTGTGAGGACTGAATGAGATAGTGTAGGTAAAAGATTTGAAGCAGTGAGCGCTTAGCACTGTGTGTACCACATAAAGGGTATACTTAGTAAAATATTAATTGTGAAAATGAACTAAGCTTTTATTTGTTTTAAATCAAGTTACAGTGAGTTACACCCATATGTTATTCTGTATGTTAAAAATGAATATTTGTTACATGTATTTTTCATATACATGCATTAGGACATCTTTGGAAGGATATATAAAAGATGGGTAACACTGCCTGTGAATATAATTAGTTAAATTTTAAAAAAACAATAAAAAGATAATAAAATAACTAAATAACTAAAACTTGCTATAAAACATTCAATGATACCACTCTTACTCCTTGCCTGGGAAAATTAGTCACTGCCTCGTTCTATTTTCTTACTGTGTCCATATTTCTATTTCCCGGATGTCAAACTTCATTGTTATTATTTACATAAATAGTATCTTTTCCTTTTTATCATAAATAAATTATACAGAGAAGTCATTATAACTTTATGTTGGTGATCATCAAAATTTTGAAAGGATTATGTTTTATTCTTATTCTTGTCCTTGAAATTTGAGCTCTTAAGCAATTGAGACTAGTGAAATCATTTTAAAATCTAAAGCTTTAAATTAATGATAGTTATTCTTTTAGAAATAATAATACTACTCTAACTCAGTAAGCCCTGCAGTTCTGTGTTGTATTTCAGGCATCAGTGAAAATTTAAATATGCACCTTTTAGTGACTATCCCAACTATAGTTGTTTTTCCTGCTATAATATTCCAGTGGAAATTTCTGGCGTATTTTCCCCAATTTTTTTGTTGTTATTTTGTTGGGATTACTTGGTCTTGTTTTGTTTTGAGACAGGATCTCCCTATGTAGTACAAGCTGTCCTTGAACTCACTTATGTAGCCCATGTTGGCTTCTAACTCGTAGTGATCTTCCTGCCTCCTGAGTGCTGGGATTACAGATGTGTGCCACCACTCCTGGCTCCCCAGTGGGTTTTATTTTTCCCTCCTTTTCCACATAGTAAACTGGGTCCCAATAGAACCATCTTACGTTAGTGCCTCTATAATGCCTCTATAATTACTCTTATTTTACTTGTAAAATTAAATAATGACACTATGGTCCCACATTTTCCTCATCTATCTGATCCCGGTTCATAGGTAATAATTCTAATTATCTCATTGTGTTTGAGCTCCAGTTTACTGTTTTAAAATTTAATATATTTGCAGAAAAAGGTTGACTTGCTATGTATTCTGATGGTTGTCACTTTTCCCTTTGTCCTAAAGATGGTAGGGAGTTTGTGATACCTTTTAAACCTGCAAATAACATGATTAAGTATCTGCATAAGACTTGTGGTTTTTTACCTTGATCACTTTTATGATTTTGAGAATTTCAGAGACACCTTCAACCTGACAGGTTCATGCCTCCGAGCAACTCTAGAACATCTGATGTACCTCTGTCTTATCTCTGGTTTTTTCCCCCTTCTCTTCTTTTTTTTTCCACAGCTAGTTTGTTACACCACCCCCTTCTTTCTCTTCCTCTTCCATTTTTCTCTTAGTGTATTAATGACACACAGTAATATCAGCAGCCATTTTTTGGCTCTGTGGGTTGTTCCCTGTGCTGACAAATTGTAGGTTCAATGTAGAGAGATGCTTTTTCTATTCTCTGAAATAATGATAGAGTTTTTGTGTGTTTGTGTGGGGACTGAATATCACATCAAAGATTCATGTATACCGAACTACATCTCCAGCCCTCTCTGAAATTATGTAGGAACTGAGTATAAAATGCTGTTATACTATACACACTTAGAATTTTCTCAAGTTTGGCACTTTTGTCTGAAAGTTAGCTATTTTGAATATCTGGTAACAAGGAACAAATTAGATTCTTTAGGTGTTATTTTGTGGTGATGTCACTGTGAACCAATTGGATTATGTCAAACACTGTAAACAATAGCATTTTATATTTTATTTTAAAAGAAAAGCAAACATTACTTAATTTAAATCCAACTATTTATATTTTACTTTGTTAATATAGGTATGGATGGCAGAGCAGAAAATATCGTATGATAAGAAGAAACAAGAAGAATTAATGCAGCAGTATCTCAAAGAACAAGAATCATATGATAACAGGTAAGATATGCCAGCCACTGCCCCAGTGTTATAAAATAATCAATTATGTGAGAATAGTGTTACTTGAATCATTATTTTTTACTCTCATATTTAAAGATAGCCACTTTACCCAACTTTATCCATAATTCACATTCATTACAGCTTTACATGACTTACATAGTCTGAGAGAAGCCCAGCAGGATAGTATGCACTACTACTGAAGTGGCTGAGTCAGAGGGATCATTTGAACTCAGGAATTCAAGATCAGTCAGCAATACAGTGAAACTTCCTCTCTCAAAAACAGACAGACAGACAAACAAAAGTAAATAAACCATAGTATGTACAAGTCCCAAGGTAAGCAGAGCTTACAGAAAAACATCTGTACGTGAACTGCTAAGACCTCATAGAAAGAGGTTTCTTTAATACAAACTCAAATGAGGAAATGTACAGGATACATAGAAGAAAAATGAAGTGTTTCTTTGGTCTTGCACTTCATCGTTCTGCTAGAAGCAGGATCATGGCTAGAGCTCTTGATTGGTTTCTCCCAGTATGGTGCTTCCCTTTTTGCTCTTATCCTTTTAGGTTTGCAAATCTGACATTAGAGCTGGTTTTTCTTCATTAATCAATCAGGTAAATAGTGGCATTTTAGTTATACAGGCTATGCTTTAAGTAAAAAACATTTACCATACAAAACTCTAAAGCACTCATCTGTTTATGAACCTTGGGTTATTTGAGTCCTTGGGCAATAATGCTGAAAACACTGATAAAGACTTCTTGTTTTTGAGACAGGGTCTCACTACATAACTCAGAATGGCCTCAATCAAATTTAAAGTGATTTTCATGCCTCCAACCTTCCAGTAGGCATGTGCTTCCGTACCTTACTTGATATGGGATTATCTGTTCAAGCCCATGTTTTTAGTTTCTTTGACTACATATTTAGGAATGGAATTGTAGCAACATTTGATAATCTGTGTTTAGCTTTCTAAGGAACCACAAACTACTTTACCATAGTGGCTGCAGTATTTTACATTTCATACACAAGGATTTCAGTTTCATTATACCCTCATAAATACTCATTATTTTTCCTTTTTCTTATATTAGCCATGTTAACCTTATAAAGTGTTAGCTGATCATGGTTTTGATACAGATTTCCCAAATGTCCAATGATGTTGAGCTTTTCATGTATTTTAAATTTTAAAATGGTGTTAATATAAGACAAAGTTTATATACTTGTTCAAAGTAAACATTGATTTTTAAGGATTTTAGAATTTTGGAGCCATCACCATAATCTAATTTTAGAACATTTTCATCATTTAGAAGAGAAATTTTATACCTGTGAGTATGGTCACTCTTCATTCCCCAACCATATATATATTTTGCTTCTTTCTTTGCTTTTTTACACTTTATAGAATCCAATGGAAGTAAGATTTATCCTTTACGAGTGCCTTTTCCAAATATAAGATGAAGTGCTAGTTTCTCTTTAGTTTCTTCTTTCTTCTTTTTTTTTTTTTTTTTTTTTTGGTTTTAGTTTTGGTTTTGGTTTTTATACCAGGAATCAAACTCAGGACTTTGCACTTGCCAGACAGTTGCTGTGACACTGAACTGTATCTCTGGTCCTTTCTTCAGCTTGTTCTTTATAGTTAGTATACACACACACACACACACACACACACACACACTCTTTTTTTTCTTTCAGTACTAGTCACCAAACCCAGGAACACTGTACTACTGAACTGCAACCCCAGACTTTTTTATTTTTTGAAAGAGGGTCTCATTAAGTTTCCCAAGCTGGCCTCAAACTCTCAACCCTCTTTTCTGAACCTCATGAGTAGCTGGGATAGCATGTATATGTCACCACATGCAGCTCAACTTTTTTGAATTAAACTTTATCTCATGTATTCAAATTTTTTTTTTTTTTACTTATTTATTTATTTATTTTTGGTGGTATCAGGGATTGAACTCACAACCTTGCACTTTTTAGGCAGGCATTTATGGCACTGAGCTAAATCCCAACCCCATTCATTTTGTTGCAAAGGCTTTTTTCTGAAAGCCTTATCTGGTTCTCTTGTAAATGGAACACAAACAGAAAATTTTTTCAGTGTTAAAATTAAATTAGGAAAATGAGATTTTTTAGACGATACAAATATTAATTATATTAGTAGCCTGTTGTAAAATTTCTTTAAACTAGTCTTCATGGGCTGGGGATTTAGCTCAGCGGCATAAGCGCCTGCCTTGCAAGCAGGCAGTTGTGAGTTCAATCTCTGGTACCGATAAAAAAAAAAAACAAACAAACAAACAAAAAATGTATAAACTAGTCTTCATTGGCCTCACTGAAGAATTTCTTTAATTTTTTTTTTTATATACTGAGAATTAAACTCAGGACCTTGAGCTGAACTACATCTCCAGCTCTTTTATTTTTATTTTTTGTTTGTTTGTTTTTGAGACAGAGTCTTGCTAAGCTGCCTGTTATAAGCTCAAACTTACAGTATTCCTGCCACAGCCTTTTAGAATGCTGGGATTATAGGCATGTTCCACAATGCCCAGCTTCCTCACTGATTTCAACTGTGAAAAGTATTAACTGGGTATTACTGTAAAGAAATCTCAGACTCGTGTTTCAAAGTGGTTTAATCCTGCACAAGAAAAGATGTTGGAGCTACTTAACCTAATCCCAAATTTACAACATGTAAGATTTCAAAGCAGTCAGTATAGCATTTTAAAGTTAGGAAAATTCTGTGAGAGTGACTCATATTGTTTTATCCACTTGTTTTAGTGGAGAGAACTAAAACATTCTCAGAAGGAAAAAATTCTCAGAATTGCAGGAGACAGCACTACATGTTTGATTTCTATTCAGATATTTTAAATGTGCTCTAGCCAGTAAAGTAGTTTTGAAATTTTTATTTCCCTCTATCTGTCTGTCTTTTTCCTTTTGGTATAAGGATTGAACCTAGGGTTTTGTTCGGGCTAGGCAAGTGCTTTACCACTCCATAGAACTTGATATCTAGCAAAAGCTTTTTATCTTAATTCTCTTGTGTTGTTAACTTTATGTCTTGTTCTGTTTAGATTGCTTATGGGAGATGAGCGTGTAAAGAATGGCCTTAATTTCATGTATGAGGCCCCACCAGGAGCTAAAAAAGGTACTGGCTTCTTTTTTTTTTTTTTTTTTTTTTTTTTAAAGTCTTTGAGATATTTATAAAGCTTTGAGAACTGCTAAAAAGTAGTGTTTAAAAAATGCTTTTCATCTTTGAAAATTGCTATCTTGTGAAGATAATTTAAAATGCTGTATAATACATAGTAGAATAAATTCTAGAATATTTTTCTAATCTAATCATTTTAATCATGTATCTTGAGGAATAAAAGCTCAAGATTAATAGAATTGCATTTATTCTTCCATAACTTGCATATGTATCTTTATTCTTTCTTACTTAGTACATTTAGAAAACATATTTACTAGGGGCTGGGGATTTAGCTCAGCTGCATAAGCACCTGCCTTGCAAGCGTGTGGCAATGAGTTCGACCAGTACTGATAAAAAAAAAAAAAAGAAAGAAAGAAAGAAAACATACTTACTGTCAGTGAAAAGCATAGAAGTTTAAAAATTAGGAATTAGCATACTTAGCATACTTACTTCCATGTCCTATTTAGATTGTGTTTTGTCCTTCAGGAATCTAGATTTTATCTGTAAAAAAAAGTCAAGCCACTAAATTCTTTTTACCAAATTACAATTAAATAACCTGATATTTAGATACTTAATAACTAAATTTTTTGAACTATTAAGTAAATTTTATATTAAAGTTTTTAACTTGTCCTACCCTTTCCTCCCCTAAACTTTCGATACACAATCAAGAAAACAAAGAGGTAATACGTCATTTCCTGTTTGTATTTACTTACAATTCATTGTAATTTTATGGCAAAACTGAAAAAATTTCAATCAATGTTTCTAGAAAGAAGAAACAGAAGGAGAGATGGAATACAAATTTGAATGGCAGAAGGGGGCTCCACGTGAAAAGTAGGAATTGGTTTACTTTTTTAAGATAAAAACATACTTCATTAAATTTATCTGAAGTCTCATCTTAGGTTATTGCCTTCATTCATTAAAGAAAGTTAATATTGGAAAGATGTTAGTAGTAACTTTTTACATAACTTCATTTTTTAAATCATAGATTATCAGACTAGAACATGAACTGTTCAGAAATATTAAGTAGATTTATAGTTCTATATGTACTTATTATAGTAATAGTACATTTTACAATGTTCTTAGAATTATAAAATGGTTACAGATTAACTACTTTGTGATTTATTAAATTATTAATATTGTATCTATACATTTTCTCTACTTAATAGATATGCCAAAGATGATATGAACATCAGAGACCAGCCCTTTGGTATTCAGGCAAGTGATACATAATTAAATTTTAGAGAATAATTTTTATTTGGTAACTATTTTTGTTGTTTTCTAAAAGATGTTTAAGATAAAAATGGACAATATGGTTTATATTTGTACAGATAATTGTAAAAATAACCATTTAATATAGTAGACTGATAAAAGATGAGAATCAATATTAGTCTCTATTTTCTAAGGTTTTAGAAAATGAGGTCAGGATCAAGAAAAGACTTAAAACTGTCATCTGTTTAGAGCAAGGAAAACTTGTCAACAGAGAGCCAAGTCTTCATGAAGAAGGTGTTACTCGAACATTGCCTGCTGACTTATTTATGTATTGTCTGTGGCTGCTTTCATACTACACCAACTGCATTGAGTACGTACGAGAAACATGAGCATCTGTCTAAGCCTAGAATATTTACTATGTGGACATCTATAGAAAAACTCACTAGCCTTTGGTTTAGAAATTTGAAACTGTAAAGATTAACTTATAAAAATTAGGGAATACTTTTTTTTTTAATATTTCACCATTTCTTTTTGGAGGATACTGTTACATTAGCACTAAGTAAGAGGCAGAAAGAAATAGGATTCAGTTTAGCTTTTAGGCAGAACTTATAGTAAAAGATTTTAGTGTTTATATTTAGTTACCCCGTATAACATCTCTTTACTTGAAGATCTTTTGAAAATATGACTAATTTAACCTAAGTTCTGTTGACACAGAGTTGGACATTGGTTATATTCTTAGTGTTTTAGTAACCAAAATAATGTTTGCTGTTTCTCAGGTTCGAAATGTGAGGTGCATTAAATGTCACAAATGGGGTCACGTCAACACAGATCGAGAGTGTCCTTTGTTTGGTCTTTCGGGAATCAATGCAAGTTCAGTTCCCACTGATGGCTCAGGTAGGCACTGGACATGATTTATTTGTTTTAGTATTTAGACAAACAAGGAAAGATGAAATACCATTTTTCTTTCATCTTTCTGGGTGTCGTTTTGGGGTTTTTTTAACTAAGGCACATGTCTAGAATATGATGATCAATGGACATTTTCTTCCCATTCCCAGTATCTATTATACATTTTGATCCTTATTTATATTTTTGGTTTCTTACATCAGAAACCAGAGAAATAATGTGATATTTAAATGTGTATCTGATTTGATCAATGGGAAACTATATTACATTTGTAATGCTATGAAATAGAGTTAAATTTTTCAAAAGGCCTTGTGAACGTGATCTCAAAAGTAATATATATTAAGTAAAATTTATCACATTAATAGCCTAAAATTAGAAGACAAACAGTTACCTTAGATATTTACATTCTGCTGAATTTAAAAATAGGCTGAATTCAGCTGGATGTGGTAGTACAGGGAGTCTCAGGCAAGAGGATCACAAGTTTGAGCCTCACTTAGTCAACTTAGTAAGATGTGGTCTCAAAATAAAAAAATAAAAAAAATCTAGAAATGTAGCTCTATGCCAAGGTCTGGGTTCAATCCCTAGTACTGCAGAAAGGAAGAAAGGACAGAAAGACTCAGCACTCATCTCTCTTTAACGCAGATAAAAACAAAGCTGGATTTTAAAAGGTGTTAAATGTGTTAAAATTGGTTTGTACTTGAAAGTTTTTTACCTTCCTGCATATTATTATTTCTTAAGAAAAGTTGGTCTGGGGCTGGGGGTTTAGCTCAGCGGCATAAGTGCCTGCCTTACAAGTGTGTGGTCATGAGTTCGATCCCTGGTACCGATAAAAAACGAAAAACAAACAAAAAAAAAGAAAAGTTGGTCTGATTTGGTTTATATCACTTTGGTTCCTTTTAAGAAAAGGTATTAAAACTGAGATGTTTTAACTTAAATTCCTCAGTGCCTTGTTAGTAATTTTTTGAGAGAAGGCACACTAATCCAGCCCTAACTTACAGATCATCATAGAAATGATGTGCTTAAGTTTGAACAAGTTACTTTATTTTTAGGAGCTCAACTCTTGATTTTAAAAGAACAGATGATAGTGTAATTCAGAGTTTTCAGCACTTTTTAAAGCAGCTAGAGAGCTTTTTTTTTTTTTAAAGGAACTCTTTTCATGGACCTTACAATGCATAAAAGCAGAGCTGCTCTGCTGGGGCAAATGCCCTGGACGGAAGCCCCTCCTGTTGGACCCCAAGGCCTCTAACACGCCTCCATCTGGGTTTCCCCTTGAGCTGTAGGATTCAAGAAGTCTGTTTTCATATTAGGAGTTTGGGAACTTGGTTCATTATTAAGTTTGACACAGTTTCTATAATGATATTATAGGTGTTAGACTTGGTAAAGGAAGTAGACAGGTAAAATACTCTGTGTGTGTATGCGCGCACACGTTTAATGCACATTTACCTAAGAAACCACCTTTTAAGAAGGATTTATTCAGTGGCATGACAAAAAAATCTAAAATCTCTTGACAAAAGAACTTCTCAATAATGCCTCTATACAGGTGCTCTTAGAAACCCACATAGCTAATTCTCCCTCCTCTTGCTGCTACCTAACTGGTAGAAAAACAGAGAAAGGCCCCAAAGCATACAAAGAAGATAGAGTGGGGTAGTTCGTATATCAAGAGCCCATTTGACTGATTTTTCTACCACTTTATTAGTCCAGAATCAGTTGTTACATCTTAAAAGTATATTCTGTTTCCTGCAATGGGTTGCATCTTTCTCACCTGTTTTTTTACTCCAATCATGTAGTTTCCTTACAATTATATGACTATTGGTTATGTTTGGGATAGGCTGAAATCATAACTGTCTTTTTTCCCTAGCCCCTGTCTCATGACAACCCTGCTTCTGAGAGAAAATAGACTCCAGGCTGAGCCCTTTCTTTTAAAGTAATCAGCAGGCTTTGTTTTTCATGAGTCTGCATTAAAAAGTCAACTAACAACAACCTGAATAACTTGTGCTTAACCCTTTTTTTTTAAGAATATTGAAAACCCCACAATCACATGCCACACAATGATGTGAATTAGATATAATATGACTGGTTATTAACTCTTCTCTAGCCCTTCTTTTATACGCATTAACTTTCACTCTGTTGCTATATTTGTATAATTGAAATTGTTACTCCCCACTGAGAGGGGAGTCAAATGAACTTTCTCACAATAAAGTGCATGGAATGAAAACAAAAACAAAAAACAAAAAACCAACACAAATTGTTAGCTCCATCAAGTTTTACCTATGTTTAACCAAGCTTGAGAGGTCTACATATGGGTGATTCTTTCTTTTTAAATAAAGTGGACATCAGAATGAGAGATGAAAAGCATGACCTTTATTTAAATAGTGTGTTTTCTCTCTAGGAGGCTAGTATATAAAATGTTTCTTAAGTCAGTGTGAAAAAGAGGAACATACAAACACAAAGAAGTGAAAGATGTAAATTCAGATGACCATTAAACATGTGAGAGCATTTTCAATAAGCTGTTTAATAACCAAAGAAGTGAAAACTGAAACAATCAAATTTTGTTGATGAAGAACCATTTGAGAATTTGTATCAAAAGTCTTAAAACATGCATCTTCTTTTACCTAGAAATTTGTCTTCTGGTAACTTACAAGACAGTGATAAGGCAATGCTCAAAATTTAGAGTAGTGAAAGATTATCACCAACCTCAATGTCCCATCAGTAAAGGTTGGTAAGATAAACTCATTTGTTCAACAATTTTTTATGTAACATTTATTTATTCTGTGCCTGACATTTTTCTAGGCTTTTGCATACAATATCAAACAAAACAAAAAATCAAACAAAACAGAAAAGAATCTTACTTTCATGTTGGTAATAAAATATCAGGTATTTATAAGTTCTGTGGTGAAAATTAAATTGGATCCTGTGCTAAGAATTAAATCAAGGGGCTGGGGCTTTAGCTCAGTGGCATAAGCGCCTGCCTTGCAAGCAGGCAGTCGTGAGTTTAATCCCTGGTACCAATAAAAATGCAAAAGACAAAAAAAAAAAATTAAATCAAGTGTTACTATAAGTGGTCTGGAAGAGCCCTTCTGAGAAAGTAATATTAAATGATGAGAAGAATGCATCCTTGCAAATCTGGGAGAAAAGCATTTAGCATCTCAGGCAAAAGAAACAGCCTTTTTGGGGCTGGGGATTTAGCTCAGCGGCATAAGCACCTGCCTTGCAAACAGGCAGTCATGAGTTTGATCCCGGGTACCGATTACAAAAAACAAAACAACAACAACAACAAAAAGAAACTGCCTTTTACAGAAAGGAACCATCAGTTCTAAGAAGTCATGTACTTGGCCATTGATACTTAGTAGTTCAGGATTGCAGACTGAGAAGATTCTATAAAAATGCCCACTTTGGAACCTCTCCTCTGCTACTTAATAGTTTCGTAACTTTAGGCAAGCTACTTAACATGTCTGCCTGTTTGCTGATGTCTGTAAAACACCTTCTAATAGTACCTACCTCATAAAATTGTTGTGAAATCTAGGTAAGTTAGTATATGTATAGTGCTTGGAATAATATCTGACACATGGTAAGCATTTCATATGTATTTAAATAAATTATGGACTGTCCTTGAATGCAATACCGTACAGCCATAAGATACATATGTATCATAGCCATAGATCTCTGATGACATGGAAGGATGTATGAAATGTAACAAAACAAAAGCGGTATCCATTAAAAGAAGGTAAAGGAAAGCTGGATGTGGTAGCGCACCCCTGTAATCCCAGCATTTGGGAGGCTGAGGCAGGAGGATCACCAGAAGTTCAGGGCCAGCCTGGGCTACATAGCAAGTTCAAGGCCACCCTGGACCACAGAGCAAGATTGTGTCTCAAAAAACAAACAAAAAAAAAAAAAAATGTAAAGGTAGAATACAAAATCTGAGGCATTGAGTGAGTAAAGTTAAAATGGCCTTCTAGGATGAAGGTTTTTTTTTTAATCTGTTAAGTTTTTAAAGGGCTACTTTTATGGTAGAAGGGTTTCTTGCTGATTTGAGAGCCCTCTGTGGGGCTTGGAATGTGGCTCAGTGGTAGAGCTTTTGCCTACCATGCGTGAACCCCTAAGTTCATTTTGTAGTGCTCTACTTAACAAAAAGGACCCTGTGTGAAAATTCCTAGGGGTACTGGTGATGTAACTCCACAGAAGAGAACTTGCCCAGTTAATGTGAGGCCCTGGGTTTGATCCCAGCACCATAGAAAGAAAAAAGAAAATTCTTAGAACTAAAAGTTTCTTGTTCACCTTTTCAAATGATTGTAGCTGACAGCTATGTAGTTGACATCCTTTTGAGCCATTAAGTTTTGGTTGTTGAACTTTGTTTTCTAAGCTTGTAGAAGACATAGACTCTTACCCCTATTTTATAACCTAATCTGAAATATTGGCATATTGCATAAGAAATAAACAGTAGATCCCATTTTATAATTCAGTAAAAAACTGGAATTTTATGTAAGAATCTTACAGAGAGTAACTGTTGAATTAGGTAGTCAATAGACAAAATGGGACTAAAAGTTACCACTGGAGAAGTAAAATTTAGATGGGTACAACAAAAGGTTGATCAACAAAAGCCCAGAATAAAAGCATAACCACAGAAAGTTTAACTTGGATGAATATAAATGAACAGATTCAGGTTTGAGTATCTCAGAAAGCTGGGTACAAAAGTGGCCTTTCATGGCTGTAGCCAGCATTTTCCAAGCTTACCTAATGAAATGTATCACTTAAGTAGGTGTTTAAACATCAATTCCCAAACCCCAGTCCCAGACGAGATATTAAGTGAGATATTAAAAAGTCTGAGATTCTTTTTCTCTCAGATGATGCTTTTTCTCTCAGGTAATCTAGAAGTTTTGGAAAGCTGTTTTAAACAAAATGGGTGTCATAGGTTGTATTTTGCTTGTTGGTTTTTGGAAGGGGAATAGTATGAAGGAAGAGGAAAAAGTATGGTTAAGAAAAAAGGAAAAAAA